AGCTCAGGTCTGAGCAGCTCACTCTTTGGTTGTGACTGGAGTTGGTCCCACTGGAGTGAAGTTCAGAAGCAACTCCTGGAGGAGCACATTTACCACATCATCTGTAAGAAACGTAAGCTTCTCTATTTCTGGCTTTCATTTTTAAAAAAATACACCAAAACAAACCTGTGTTTCCTATACTTGTTCCCTTGACTTAGTTATAAAACAATTTTTAAAAATGTTTCTACAGTATTGACAGTTAACTAAAATCAGTCTTCCCAATGCTTATCAATAATCTTTTGCTGTTCATTTAGCTCCTAAAGTAGATTTTATTCTGAGGTTGTAAAAAGCACAGAAATCGCCATACGTTATTTGATCTACTTGGCAAGTCAGTCTCCCTGGAGATTGGTTAGTAGAGATTGTCATCTAAGAGGCTCATTATTGCAGTGTAAACCGTGAAACAACCCACAGGAAATGATATGAATTTAAGCTTCATAAGTGGTATCTTGGAATCCAATATCTTTTCAGTATGCAGCCTACCAGAGGATGCCAGCCTGAATGGCCAGCTGGTCTTACACAGTGATTTAAGTTGTGTATTAATGCAATGTTAGTTTCTGTAGCTAGCCCAGTAAAATTATGTCCTGAAGCAAGCCACTCCCATGGCCCTGGGCGGTGCCACCGTCACCTTCAGGCAAGCAGGTCCTATCCATCCATTGCCCTAAACCCTACAGCTCACGATGCCTTCAGGGGCACCCTTGAGTTTTTTCTTTAGACACTAGAGTCAATTTTAATTGGCATCTATTTGAATTGTCACCTAGGCAGAGTTTTTGATGTTTTTTTTTTAAGTTGAAAATTGGATTATACGAATTTAACCCCCTACAATCTCAGAAGGATCTTCTGATAAAATATTTAGTAAAAAGCATAAAATCTTTCTTTATTCGCCTGGTTAGTGCACACTCAAGCTGAGTATTACAGATGTGACTTCTTTATTAGCTACATTATTAAATGAAACCAAAGCTTTAGAAAACAGGGCTATTAATAGTGGTGACTCATGTATTCATGTTTTTAGAAGGACAATAAGCTTCTGTAGGACAGTGTTAGAAATATTTTTTCATAAAGTTGTTTAGCTATAATTATAGTAATAGTATTATGTGTGCTAATGCAATTTATAATGCAAGTCAAATGTAACTTATATGTATATAATATTTAGTAGTGATATATAGTAATATGGATAGAGAGCAAAAAAGTCAACACTTTAGATCAATTTAAGACACACAGCATACTACTTGTTATTCTAGTGTTGGCAACTTGGTAGGATTCGTAGAAGGGAGACTGAGGAGGAAGTGGTGGAGGCTTTTGAGAGTGATGAAGAGGCATAAAAGCATAGGGTTGTCTAGAAACATGACTGAGAGACACTGCATATGTCAGATGGGCTGGTTTCAAAGTGTGGTGGGAAAATCATAGGCAAGCTAATTGGAATCATCACTTGAATGCTAGCATACAAACTTTCAAATTTAGGCTGGAAGTGACTCCATCCACCGAATCTGTTTTGAACTGAGTTTTGACATGATGAAAGTAATATGTTCAAAATATTGATTTAAGTGTTGTGTAGGCTGGGTAGTGGGGAGATTGCAAACAAGGAAATAAGATTTAACTAAGATTTCAGGAGTCTGAGTGTGTAGTGATAAAACCCAAATCACTGTCATAGCAATGAAAATTAAAAAGGGTAGACAATTAAAAAGGATAAAGAAACGACATCAAGAAGATTTCACAGTTTAATTTTCTGTGGTTGGGGACTAATCCAGTAAACATTAGTTGAGCAACTCCTATTTAAGAGAGTTTAGGAGATGTAGACTTACAATTAGCCTGCCTATGTACATTTCCTATGTACATATTCAATACAAGTTATTGGCAAATGAATGAAAAGCTGTTCATTAATGAAGGTCCATAAGAAATAATATTTAATTTTTGTGTGGTAGGTTTAGGAAATGTGTAGAATGAATTCTAATAAGGAAATTTGTTTTATAACTTTAATTTCCACTCTCCTAGAATTAGCATGTGTAAAATCGAGTGCACTTAAAGATAATCGTAAATCCAACATTAATGAGATTAGCCCAATAGTTTTACCCTTGAGGAATAAATGAAGATATTTAAAAATTTTATATTTGCCTGAAATTATTTTTACCAAATGTCATGAAGAAACTATAGTTAAGTAATAAATATCACAGTCTTAAATTTATTATTTAAAACATGGTGAATTTGCCTTTAAGCTAGTTTATTGCATCCTTTCTTTTATGAAGTCCTGGGATAATTTTGTATTCTTTTTGCAATTGCTTTTCTTCCTTTGCTTGGTTATATAGATGGATTTATTTTGTTAATTTCTTAATATGGTTCTCATATACCTACCTGCAAGCTTATTTTTCTCTTTAAAGGAAATTCTGGCCTAGCCAGTGTGGCTCGGTGGTTGAGCATCGACCTATGAATCAGTAGGTCACAGTTCAATTCCAGTTAGGCGACATGCCCATTTTTCAAGCTTGATCCCCAATGTGGGCTGTGCAGGAGGCAGCCGATCAATGATTCTTTCTCATCATTGATGTTTCTATTTCTCCCTCTCCCTTCCTCTATGAAATCAATAAAAATATTTTATTTCTGTAACTTCTATATATGTCTCAACAATGCAAAATATGGCCACTCATCTGACATTATAGTTTGTAATCATTTTAACTCAGCTGTCTGTACGGTTTCAGTCGTATGTATGAAGCCATGACCTAATCCATTGGCGTGCTGGCAGGGTGCATCAGCAGTGTGCTTGGGTCCTCATCACCAAGGCTGGGACCAGCTGCAGTGGCTTTCCAATTGGATCTGGTTCAGTGTGGGGCGTCATATAGCACCACATGGGAGGCTTCAATGAGTCACCACTGGCCGATTGCAGGTAGAGTGAAAGCACGAACATGGTAGACTTTGACAAGTGCTCTAAGACAGACCTACTTCCAAAAATGTCACCTCGCCGATGGCGAGGCATAGTTCCTGCCCTGGAGTCAGACCTGTGGCTCTCTGTTACCTTCGTTAAGCCTCATGCTTTATTGCATGAAAATGAAAGTAAAATGGCTGTCTTGAAGTGCAAACTATTCCTATGGTGGGACGGCAACATTTATTGACACTATGTCTTGGTGTATACACATGGTCTCCATTTTCAAAAAACCTATATCTGATCTGGGTATGGGCCCTTAGGCTTTGGGAAGTGGGGAAGAAAAATAGGCCTAGTTCATTCTAGTGCAATAATTTAATAAAAGAAACAAAACAAACAAAAAAACCCCATTTATTTATTTATTTATTTATTTATTTATTTATTTATTTATTTATTTAAAATATATTTGATTGAGTTTTCACAGAGAGGAAGAGAGAGAGGGATCGAGAGCCAGAAACATCGATCAGCTGCCTCCAGCATACCTCCTACTGGGGATGTGCCCTCAACCAAGGTACATGCCCTTGACTGAAATCGAACCCGGGACCCTTCAGTCTGCAGGCCGACGCTCCATCCACTGAGCCAAAAAAAAAAACCACACAACCCTTTACATAATACCCATTTTCTCAGTGAGAGTACCTCCTAGCTCAGATGTCTTTTTTGTCAGCGCCCTCTTTCCCTTGCCCTGGCTAAGGTGGTATCAGGTGTATGGAAGCAGGAAGGGCCCGTGTAGTGCCTCCTGTTCTCTGCTGCTCTTCCAGCAGCTGGAGCCATATCTTCTGATGCTGGCATTTCTGCAGATATGCCTCTTGATGTTGTTGTCTTCTTCTGCTGAGTTTGGGCCTAGTAGCCCTTCCAAGCTGATTCAGCCTCATGTGGCTCTCTTTGGTGAGAGGTTTTCTCTACCTGGCCAGGACCTGTAACCCCAGCGTCTGCTGCAGGGACACCAACCTGTTGCCAAGGTGGCAGGATTCTCCCTGAGTACTGTGGGGAGTTCTGGAGCCCGGGTGTGGTTAACTGACTGCAGTTGGGGAAGTAAACACCAAGGACCGATTTTGGCAAGCACCCAGCACCTGGCTGGTTTACAGGCATTGGCTGTGCTCCAGGTTGGTGTGGGATGGCCTGAGAGATATTTTTTTCTAGAGCTCAAGAAGGAAATTGGGGCAGCCTTTCTGTACCAGTCGGGGACCAGAGAGAAGCAGATGGATGGCATTCTCCAAAGGGGTCCCCGATTCAGGAGAGTTTAATGAAGGGACTATTCGAAGATGGGAAGAGTTAAGGGAAACCAAGAGGGGATGTTGAAGCTCCTCAGAACTAATCAATGAAACAATATCCTCGGTGAGGATAAATAAATAAATAAAAATAAATGTAGCCATTAAAAAAAAAGAGAGAGAGAGAATGAGGCCAGCTTCAGAAGAACTTTGCAGAATGCGCCATATTTATACTCTTTAAGTATAAGAATAATTTTGTAGGATAATTGTTTACCTTCTTCTTTTGACTTTTAACAAACTATATTTTAATTGTTTTATTGAATAATAATACTAAATATACAAAACTATTTACAAAATACATTGGAAAATACAGAAAATACTCATGCACAGTGTCCCAGAAATGAACCTACTCTCATTAACTCCACAAATATGTCCTCTAGGTTCCCACTTTCTTTTCCTCTTCTTCCCCCTCTCTGCCCCTGCTGCCTCAGAGCAAACCATGGTCCTGAATGCTTTATCATGGCCTTGCTTTCCTTCATAAATCTATTCTTTCACAATACTTTATTTAGTTTTGCAACTTCGTATAAGTGGAGCCGTACCCTGTGAGCTTCTGTAACGTGTTTTTTCCACTCAGAATCTTGTTCCCAAGTTTCATTCATGTGATCACATCAGCAAACTTATCACAGTATTATTTGCTATATTTTCCTTCACCTTTCTCACCAACTCCTCTCCCCTCCTCTCTGACAACCATCTTCTTGGTCTGTTTCTATGAATCTGTTTTTGGTTTGTCTTATTTGTTCGTTCACTTTAAAAATTGCGTTATGTTTTATCCATCTTGCCTGAAGGTCTGTTGGAGGCCGAACCACTGCGAGGAAGAGATGAAGACGCAGTAGCCAGCGCTGACTTCTCTAGCATGCTCTCTGACGAGGAGAGAGAAGAGTTAAAGGCAGAACTAGTTCAGGTATGTTTAGGAATCTTATTGTTCCTGTGTCTATCTCTGGATCTTGAGAGTTACTATTACTTTTATATAAGTCCCATATTACAATTGTTTTATTACACTCAGTAAAACTTCATAAGTGATGTACTGCAAGATGATTTATTTTGGGGGTATTTTTTTGGGGGGAAGTATTTTGTGATGCTACTGGTCCATTATTTGTTGGTCACAGTACAAAAATGGATGGTTATGCTGCTTAAGCAACAACGATAATTAGCATCTCCTACTTTTAGTATCACAGTACCATGGGGATGATAAACCACTTACAAACCTGGTGGAATTCCTTCAAGACCCTGCAAGTACAAGCTGCTTTTTAAGAGCAGTTTTTGTTTTAGGTCAGCAACGTAGCTCAACAAACGCTTTGAAATGATTTAGTTATAAAAAAAAAAGTCAATCACAGACAACTGGATTTATTGAGTTGTGCTCTTTTGCAGAAGAATAAAGCTCTAGGGATAGAGAGGAACGCTGTGCTGGCTGTAGGCTTCCTTAGATCACAGGTAGCTGTTGGGACATTGGAACTTAGAGGCGAGGAGGATGCCTGACTCACTGTGAATGCAACTCTCTGTTCAAGAATTTTGTTTGCAGCACCTACTAACCCTTGAACACTTAGCTAAGGAGCCGTTGGTTGCATTATAGAAGCAAAGGACACAGGGAGCTTCCCAAGTACAATTGGCAGCAGGGGAGAGGGATGAAGCCAGCAATCCCTCCCCATTCTGAATCCTTGGCTCTGAGGGCAGGAAGCTCCTGGTCCATCAGGAAGCAAGGCTTTCACCCCTGGCTCCAGGCTCTTCAGTAGCTTGGGGACAGAGCCCCGAGCTCCACCATTCCCTCAGCCCCTTGTCCATGGCAGACTCCTCAAGCTCTCAGGCCCTGAGAGTGTGTGTTCGTGACAGTTCATAATCACACTGAAGATTTTTCAGGTGCTTTCCCAAGACACACCCTAAAATAACTTCATAAAAATCAGCTTATTCCTCTGGCACAGCTGAAGTTATTTTTGTAAGCACAGCACCTCCAATCAAAGAGCCTGCTTCTTTGGCTGTGTTTGTCTGTGGCCACTGATCCAGAACCACACGGTTGACTTCAACCCGGCCACGCATTCCGGAGTGCACGGACCACAGTCAGCCTTCACTGAGCGAGCATGCAGCTCCATGTTTCCTTTAGGCCTGGAATTCTGTTCATGACCTGCTCATGTCCGTGGTGGTGTCCAAAGGTTATGATTCGTAGGCCAGTGTAAGTTAACTGATTCTATGCTAAATTTTAACTCCTTCATAGAACAGTCCAGGTTTAAGTTCACATGCAACCTCTATGACAGATCAGTTTTTAGAAAATGACTTGATTTTTCTAGGTTCTGGGATTCTGTCAATGCATTTTTTGCACATTCTGTGTTTTCTTAATGTTCAACAGTGAGTATGGACTACTTTATAATCAAGAAATGGTTGCCCTAACCGGTTTGGCTCAGTGGATAGAGCATAAGCCTGTGAACTGAAGGGCCCCAGGTTGGATTCCAGTCAAGGGCATGTACCTTGGTTGTGGGCACATCCCCAGTAGGGGGTGTACAGGAGGCAGCTGATAGATGTTTCTCTCCCATCGATGTTTCTAACTCTCTATCCCTTTCTTCCCCTTGGGTAAAAAAAATCAATAAAATATATATGTATATTAAAAAAAAAAAAAAAGGTAAGGCAAGCCTGAGCTCTAAATGGAGACCACATTGAATATAAATAACCCTCAGTGTTTTCAAAAATTTGTTTTTTTCTGGCCACATTAATAAGCTTCCAGTGCACCTCACTCCTATCACTTTCTGAGCCCGAATTCTGAAAATAGCACCAGACTCCCGTCACTGTGTTCAAGTTGCCAGGATGCACGTTTTCATCCCTCAGAATGCATTAGCCTCCGTGCTTGCTCGCTCTTATTTCTGGATTTTTCAGAGACGAGGGAGTATTGCATCCTGCCCTATTGTTGTGTGCTTACCAAGTGCTGGCACCAGGAAGACCTGTCCTCGTGCTGGGAGATGTGAAAGAAGCCAGTATTGTCCAAAAGGCTACATCTTAGCTAAAGTCTGCATTTTAAAAGAGGAATCTGTTGCTAACACAGTTTAGCCTTTGGTTTATGGCTGTAGCATGTGATATGTGTGTTTTTCTGAGTTCTTCAGTGGGAGGAGATGGAGGAGGGTATAGGGGAACAGATGGTGATGGACGGAGACTTGACTTGGGATGGTGTTCGCACAATACATTGTACAGGTAGGTGGTGGAATTGTGCACCTGAACTCTGTATAGTTCTGTTAACCAGTTACTTCAGTAAATTCAGGGGGGAAAAAGAAACTAAAAATAAATAAAGAAAAGCTTGTTCAGTGTGAGGCCAATATCACCTCTGATCTGGTGCGTGCTTTGTGTGTAGCAGGTGTGCGATAAGACTTTTAACTTTATTTTATAGCGCCAGCGAATATTTGTATTTGTAAATACCAGAAGTGGATTGTGCTTTTTTTTTTATAAGGTTATTAATATATAAAGATATTTTGTGTCAGAGATTTGATCTCATTCATCTTATTACCAGTTGCTCCTGACATCTCCGAGGTCTCTGTACATCTATTCAGCGTTTCTTTCCCTCTGTCTCCATTTTTAACTAAACTTGCTCAATATTTCTGTGCTACAAACATCCACTCCCACTTCCATTTCAGTAAGATGAATTTTATGATCAGTATTCCATAATGTAACATGGCTTTTGAAAAGGAAGAAGTGTTGGCATTAGTGCTAGAAATCTGTGTTTTATAACAATTAGAAACTGCCCATGTCCCCTCGGTAAAGTGACTCAAGAAAAATGGGTATTAATAGGAAGAGGAAAAATACCAGAACTCATTATCCATCAGACAGAACCTATGTTCAGGCTCCCTCCATCCACTCTTGGTTCCCCTCTCCTTGGGTGTGTGTTTCCTCAGGAAGAACACACAGTGCCCTCAAGCTCCCATCTCTTAGACTTACAGACTCAGCTCCTTCCTCCCAATCCTTTATTCTTTCTGGACTAAGCTAGTGACCAACTAAAGTGTTCATAACCAATAATGTCTTACTGTAGCATTCTTCTGTATTAGTGAGGGTTTTCCAAAGAAACAGAACCAATCCTGTCTAATAAAAGGGTAATATGCAAATTAACTGTCACTCTGTCACAAAGATGGTAGCATCCATAGTGGCCAGGGCAGGAGGGACCTCTGGGGGCAACACGAGCCCAGCATCCTGCACCCCAGCCACATGGAGTGAGGGGTCTCTGGCTAGAGGCCAGGGCACAGAACACTGGCATTGAAGACTGGGCTGAGTGGCCTCCCCACCATGCATGAATTTAAAGCACTGGGCCTCTGGATATATATATATATATATATATATATATATATATATATATATATAAAATATATATGAATGATGTGTGTGTATATATGTGTGTGTGTGTGTGTGTGTGTGTGTGTGTGTGTGTGTGTGTATGTATGTATGTATACAGGTCCCAAGATCTAAAGTCAGCAAGCTGGAGACCTATGGAAAAAGGGTGTGCCTTCAGTCTGAAGGCTAGCAGGCTCAAGGCCCAGGAAGAGCTAATATCACCCTTTGAATCCAAAGGCAGAAAACACACACACACACACACACACACACACACACACACACACACACACACACCTGTAGTAGGTGCATGTTTCAGCTTAGTCTGACATCTTTCCTCACTGCTTCCCTCCTACTTGTAGCTGGAAGACGAAATTACAACATTACGACAAGTATTATCAGCAAAAGAAAGGCACCTGATTGAAATAAAGCAAAAACTCGGCATGAACCTGATGAATGAAATAAAACAGAACTTCAGCAAAAGCTGGCATGACATGCAGACCACCACTGCGTAAGTACATTCCCGGAATACTAACCAATCACTTCGTCTGCCATCTTGCCACTTTTCAATTTTTTTTTTTCTCCTAAAAGGTATTGTAGCTAAAAAAGGACACTGACTTGGTATTGTAGCTAAAAAAGGACACTTTCTCTAAAAATATGGGGAAAACCTCAATAATCATTTTTAAAATGTTGAATGTGGAACATGCTCCATAAAGTATTAAACTTTGTTCACTAAAATTCTATTTTTACTCAGACCACTTTATAGTATTGCATATTAAAAAAAAATCTTTCTTTTTATTATATATTTTAAGCATTTTAGAATATGTATTTTTTTATATGTTCTCATAAAATTGTAAATGGACATGCAGAGTTTGGTAGTAGGAAGAAATACCGGGATGGATGGCCATTATTTCAGTCTCGTTGGGGCCATCTTTGCCTGCTGATGCCTGAAAGCTACGGTCTAAGACCCTTTGTTCCTGTAGGAAGGTGCCCTTTGTTGGAGGAGTTGGATTAAAGGAGTCTGCTGTTTCCCTGCTGTATTTCCTTTAGTTTCCAGTGAAAGAAGACCCGCTCTCTCCCCCTATAACAGCCTAGAGTCCCATAGGCTTCTGTGCTTGTGCACCCCACGGGCTCTCCAGCAGGGTCAGGGCACAGAGTAGGGCAGGATGGAGCCAGGGAGCCCAGCAGTTGATCTGCAGAGGCTAACCAGCCTTCCCCAACATGACGCCAATTAGAGAAGACTAGAGGCCGGTTGCACGAAGATTCGTGTAATAGGTCTTCCTTCCCCTGGCTTCCGGCACTGGTTTTCCTCCTGCACCCGGGACCCAGGCCTTCCCTCTGGCTGCCGCCTTCTGCCTTCACTCTGGCTGGAATCTGCTACCTTTGCTGCTGACTCTGGCCAGACTCTGCTGTTTTTGTCTTCACTGCAGCTGGAGTGCTGCTCCTGTAGATCCCTTTACCCCCCACCCTCCCTCTCATAGCAGGCGTCCTTCCCTGCCCGGCCACTCCACGCCTGGAGCGGTTGGGTGGTGGGGCTGCCGCCATCTTTGTCCTTCTAATTTGTTTATTCCCTCCTGATTGGCTGGTGGGCATCGTGGAGGTATGGTCAATTTGCAACTTTTCCTTTTATTAGTGTAGATAAGACACCTCACATGGATGTTTATACATTTCAAATACATAACGCAACACCATGTGAACAATCTGCTGAAAAGTGTAGCTGGATTTTAGGCACTACATTAATGAGCCCATGTGTCAGCAGTTTGGCCTATGTCTTTGCACCGTGGTGGCCTAGACCCATTAATGGCCCTGACCATGTGAGATGGAACAATCTCCAGTCCTAGGATCTGGTAACCTGTGTATTAATCTGGGTCTGGAGGCTTCACGTCACACTGACCTGAACTCTCTTCTGGATGTGAGAACCAGGCCTGATGTTGTGCTTGGCCCTTCTGACCACACTGCAGGGATAAACTAGCCCAAGGGAGAGAGAGCCAGGCCCTTCTGTTGCTGAAGGAAGGCCGGGGTGGGGAGGGAGCAGGGATATGAGGGTGCCCCGAGTTTGCTCTAGGTGTGATGGGGGCAGAGTGGGAGGTGGGGCAGTGAGGGGAGACATCCGCTGGGACATGGGATTGGGGCAGGGAAGTTCCAGGAAGGAAGAGGGAAAGAGAGATAGAAACATCAAATGACAGAGAATCATTGATCTGCTGCCTCCTGCATGCCCCCTACTGGGGTGGAGCCTGAAACCCAGCCATGTGCGCTGACCCGGGAATCGAACTGTGACCTCCTGGTTCATAGGTCAACGCTCAACCACTGAGCAACCCCAGCCAGGAAATAGAGTTATTCTCTATCCACAGGCAATAGAAAGCCATTAAAGGGGTCATGACAGTTTGTTTATCCAGCAACTTCAATGAGTGCCTACTCTTAGGCATTATTACACAAAGGCTAAGCCAAACCCACAGGATAAAGACTGCAAAGATGGAAAAAAAAAAAAAAAAAAAAAAGTTCCTTACTCTCTTTGTGTGTCAAAAGGCAAAAAAGATCAAGAAACAGCAGCTGGGACGGGGTCCCCGTGTCAGGGAAATCCTGTCCTGGAAGCTGCTTGGAGCTGAGACCTGAATGATGAGAAAGATCGTGTGGTGACCTCAGGAAGAGCTTTCACGCAAAGGCAAAAGCTTCTGCAAAGACCCTGAGGCTAGCTAGAACTGGCTTTACAGGTTTCAGGAGCCCAGAGCAAGTGCTGTGTCTGGAGGATAGTGAGAGGAGGGGGTCAGAGACTCTGTTTCATGAGCAACTGTGGGGATTTTCTCCCAAGGGCTCAGGATCCTGTTGAAGAGTTTGAAGCAGGGAATGACCTGTTCTGATTCATCTTTCAGAAAGATCACTGCAGTGACTGTGTGTGATACAGATTGTGGGGAGGAGGGTGTGGAAACTGGAAAGTCCTTCATGAGACTGTTGCCATAATCCAGGTGGGGACAGTGGTGAGGGAGAGATGTGGACAGGAAGCGGACAGGATTTGGAGGTCAGGCTAATGGAATTTCCTAGTGGTTGGGAGGCAGGGGATGAGGGACATAGAAGGATCAAATGGAACTCTTGTGTCTTGGATTGGGACTCCTGGGTGAGTGTGGACACTTTCCTGCAGTGGGACTATAGAACTGTGGCTAAGCCATGAGCTATGAACTCCCATGGGTTGGGTTAAAATCTAGGCCTCCCTGCATCTGCAGATTGAGGTTATATTCGTACCTGTTTCAAAGGAAGTGAGGATTCACTGCGTTAATATCTGTATAGGATGTAGGACGGCGTCTGACACTTTGTAGTCAGATTCACTGTTCTAAGAAAGACTGAGACAGATTTTGTGAGGAGACCCAAGTGTTGGCCATATCAAGTCTGAAATGCCCAGGAGACAAACGAGTTTATATACCAAGAGCACAACGTGAGGGGAAAGTCCAGGACATTTGGGAGTCGTCTGCCTTCTGATGTCTTGAAAGCTATAGGACTAGATGAGATTGCCTCAGGGGTCATTTCATAAATACAGATGAGTGTGGACTCACTAACCTTTAGGGATGATGTGAACTTTGCTTTGTAGGAAAGAATCAATCTCTCTCTTAAGAGGGAAGCCTGTCAACAACATAATTTTGGGAGAGCATCTTCCTCCCACCGTCTTTTCTTGGCTGCTGAGGGAAGGGAAAGTCTTACTCACATGGTAAAGTTGGGGAGGGGGCAGAAAACAAAACCTGTTTTCTCCATTCATTAATTAAATCCCTGTTGTTAGTGTCCATAACACCCATTCCAGGACAAGCTCTGTAGCTCACACAGTGAACATTTTGACGCGAGGAAACTGGGGTGGGGTTAGTTGGGTAGAATTAGATTTTAAAGCACTAAAAAGGATGTTAGCTGTCAGAGAATCGCTGGTGACTACCACAGGCAATACTTTGCATACTGATTAGGCAATCATGACCTATTTAGTTTGATTTATAATGAAAAGAAAATCTGTGGGATGGTAATGAAAGATCTTGGCATATTTTAGTCTGTGGTAGGATTCAAATAGGAACAGAACTGGATGAGTAGGAATAATTACACAGGAAACTGAAATTAGTTCTTTTCTAGGAGATCCTCTGTGTTTATTGTTAGGCTGTTGTTGGTGTCATAATTTTTTTTTTTTTTTTTTTTTACATGTCTTGGTTTGAGAGAATCTAGGAGCAGACACAAATTATTCCGCCATCTTTTTTTTTTTTTTTTTTTAATTATCTCTGCTGCTTTTCTATGTTGCCTCTGGGCTTCAAAGAGGCGCAGGGCATGTGTGTGGCTTGGAGTCTAGCTGTGGGAGGTCACCTGAGGAGATAATGAATCTTAATAAAGAAGACTGGCCTGGGGTTTTGAGCACTGTGACAGGAAGAACAGTGCTATATCCATCATTCTGAGACATTTCTAACAGTTACTGAATCAAGTGGAAAACAAAAGAGACCTAACCTGAGGGAATCAAAAGAAACCAACAGAAAGTTTCCATTATGCTCACACAGCAGTAGCCAGAGCCACACATTCATTCCCTCCTACTCAGCAGGTTCTTCTTCGACCCTGATTTTCCGTGGTCTTTCCATATTTACCAGGAAATGTCTGTTTAGTACACGAATGTTTTGTTTGGTTTTATGATCTAGATAATATGGTTGTGACACTTCCTGAAAAGCAGGCATTGTGTAAATAAATAACATATGGTAAGCTCATTCCAAGCTGCTAACAAAAAGGCAGTGGTAGAATGGCATGTTAATAAAGTGATTTCAGTCCTGAGGAAGACCCAGGCGCATGCTTTAAAGCATTGCCTTTAAGTATCTATGATAGTGCATTTAGGAATGCATGGTGCGGAGATGGAAGGGGTGGGTGGAGGGATAAGGGGCATTCCCACAAGAGTGATTTGATATAACATACAGCCTTCTCAGAGGTACCAGATAATGTAAGAGCTCCAGACCCAGCAGATAGCTTTGGGGGAACGGGCCTGGGAGTAGCATATATCTGAAGAAGGTGGTATGTACATTACAAGAATTTGTGTTTCTCTTTTAATCTAAACAAACACTCTTGTTTTGTTCTCAGTTTCATTGAGATATAATTGAAATAACAGCGCTGTATAAGTTTAAAGTGTATGGTATGATTTGGCATGTTGTGAAGTGGTGCACAAAACTTTTTTATTGATTTCTTTGGATTCCCTTTGAGGTCTCCTTTGTTTCCCATTTTATCAAGTAACTGTTAGAAATGTCTCAGAACGGTGGACACAGCACTGTTCTTTCTGTCATGGTGCTCAGAACCGCAGGCCAGTCTTCTTATCTGGTTCTATTTGTCACTTATCACCTCCCACATCTGTGCTTCTCTCTCTCTGTGTCCCACCACCTCCTCGCTGTTCTTCCAGCCGGGACTCCCCATTCAGAGCCACGGAGGAGCGTCCTCTCTGAGCATCCATTCATCCATCCAGTGTTTACTGAGTTTCTCCTGTAACCCTCTGCCAGACACGAGACACAGAGATGAGTGGCTTCCTCACCCTCAAGGAGTCAGTCCAGTAGGGCCCAGGCGATGAGCAGAGATAGGTCATTGCAGTACTAGATTCCTAAAACTGTTTTTGAAAAAAATCACTGTGTTATCTTAAATTATGTGCCTTTCTTATTCTCAGTATAAGTATTAAAAAGTAAGCTAAATACTAGTTTAATATTTGCCTTTTTATGGTTAATTTTACCCACAGAAACAGTAAAAGCTTAATGTTCTCTTTGAAATGTACATTTTAAAATTTCAGCGTCACCTTTGATGTCTAGAGCTTTCATTGACAAGTGTCTCTTGGTAAAGTTAATGCACTTCTTTAAGAATGACTCTCTACTCTGGACAGTCCCGCTCCTTGTGATTAAAGATCTGCACATTCAGATCTATACTTGTGTCTGTATCTTGTTCCTGAATTCAGATTTAATTGTCTGACTGTCCCTTCTATAAGTGGCAGCTAACCCATCCTTTCAAAAGCAATGACTGGAAACAATCACTAAGGAGAGAGAGGGACGATGCATGGTTTATGGGTGGTGATGGTATATAAACTGCTGTTCTGTTTACTTCCAGCTACAAGAAGACACATGAAACGCTGAGTCACGCAGGACAGAAGGCCACTGCTGCTTTCAGCAATGTGGGGACGGCCATCAGCAAGAAGTTTGGAGACATGAGGTACTGTGGGAAAGGCCCTGGGAATGGGCCCAGCCTTGGCTGCTAGAGAGAGGAGGAGCGTTATCTATCGGGTAGTCTTCCTAATATAGTCTTTTTTGATTTGATTAATTATTATGTGCCAGGTAGTGATTGGTGACTGAGATAAATTATTCTATTAGGTCATATTCTGACTGAAGGTCAGTTTAGTGGCAGGACTGGTCCCAAAGATGCCCTTTCCACTGGGCCCCAACCTGGTAAAAATAGAAGATAGAGGATGTCTTTATCGCTGGTAATGAGGGATTTCAAAAGACCACAGCACATATGATTATAATTAATTGCATACTTTATTTTAATTTATTGCTTAAATTACAATTAATGTAATTTAAGCAATAAGTTAAAATATGTATTCAGTGGAATATCCTCTAATAAATCATTCAAGTTACAGTTTTACATATATCCATTTTATATGCTAAATATATAATGTATGTATTATTTTCATCCCAAAAAGGTACTATATGGTATATATTTCTGGTAGTTTTCTTCACTTTAGCAATATTATGAACATGTCAATAAATGTATGTCTATTACATTTTTAATAACTTTATTATCTTCCAATGCGCTTCCTTGCACAATTTGGTTATTTATTCAGTATTTCACTATTATATAAAATTAGGCGATCATTAAAATTTTGAACTGAGAACCAAATGTCCTCACTATAGTCACCAGAAAACATTGCAGTATTGACCATTACTTTTTATATTATGTGCTAAGGCGTTACATAGAATTGTTACTCTCACGCTTTTTTGCTTGTTTAAATACCTACCATAGTTTATTTGGAATTTAGATGATATGCTTATGTGACTTTTAAATTAATAAATCAATTTCCTTTTTCTCTAAAATTCCAATTCATTCTTTAAAAATTTTTAAACTACATTTTAAATTTCTTTAAAAAGATCTGTGTGAATTATTTCACTGGATTCTTAAACTATTAATTTTTTATTAGCCTTCAACTTTGATACTTAGAGAGAAATATTTATATCTTTGTGTTTTGGTTATTTTTTTTTACTTCAAATATTGCTAGATTGTGCCCAATATTAATGCACCATCTTAATAACTTGGCATTCATGAGGCTGGAGTTAAGTGAGAAATGTACATTAATCTGAGTATTTTTACTATTAATAATAATAAACACCATTGAAATTCTTCAGAGACAGCATGTGAATTATAGGTAAACATTCTGGATTTTAATTGACCTTAATTTTATTACAAATAAAATATGCGATCTTTCAGTGGTATTAAAACATTGATCTAAACTAGTTAAATAATTCCTTAAATGGGGAAGACCCTATTACCTGTTATATCCAAGAAAATAGATTTTGAAAAAAGATCCACTTTTCTAAAATTCATTCTCCTAACACTTACTTGAAACCTTTCACTTGAACGCTGGGATCTCGGTGTTTCTCCATCTTTAGGGGACTTACAAACAGCTCTGAATCTTGTTTAGAATACATATTTCCAGATTGCACCTCCAAGAGTTGTGCCTCAGTCTTGGGTGGAGTCTAGGAACCTGCTTAGTAACAAGTTCCCAGGTGATTCGATTTCATGTAGTCAGGTTCTGAGGAAGCCAGGTGCAACTTAGCTCCTGTGTACCTGGGTTGTGTCAGTTATGAAATGGGGATAAAAGTAACAGCACCATCGAGTTATTTTAAAAGCAGAGAGCCTGCTGTGTACTCAGTGCTCAAAAAATGCTAGTTTTTATCTTTTCTAAGTGACCATCTTGGTGACAAGGTGGCCCATTAGGGCAGAAATTAGAAAGAACCCATTAGCCTGGCTGGCGTGGCTCAGTGGTTGAGCGTCAACCTAGAACCAGAAAGTCATGGTTAGATTCCCAATCAGGGCACAAACCTGGATTGCGGCTTGATCCCCAGTGTGGGGTGTGCAGGAGGCAGCCGATCAATGATTCTCTCTCTCTCTCTCTCTCTTTCTGAAATCAATAAAAACATATTTTTTAAAAACTACCAAATTAAAATGTTTCCTGTGAAGTTAAAATGAGGTCACATCTATGAAAGTATTCTGAAGAAATGCAAGCTGTTGGAATACTTTCTATGATACTGGCATCTTCCTGGTACCTCTCAGGAATTTCTTCAAACTGCACGTGATCTAGAGCAGATGAAATCTTTGGAGGAGGCACATGATCTCATTAGTGAGTTTCACCATCGTTATGTACCCATGAAATAATAGAAACACACAGATTATAACATGTTGTTAAACTCAGACGCATTGAAAAGTCAGTAGGCTCAAAAAGTGTAATGAATGCAATTACTGTTTGCTTTGGGGCTCTTATGTGGTGTATCGTTTCCTCCTGCTGTGCTAATGCTGCTCCTGCTCTTCTCTCCATGCTGCCCGGGCTGCAGGTCCCACTCCATCGGGTAAGCACTGCCTCGGGGGACCCTCCGCCCCTTCCTTCCCAGAGCTCTCTTTCACAGTGAGAGTGTGTCTCAGCTAAAAACTAAGTCTCTCTCCTGAGCATGTTCCTGACCAGGGAGTTACAGACTATTGATAGAGGGGCATCTAAGGCATTTGAATTTCTGTAAGCTCATATTTATCTCCTTTCTGAACCATTTACACCAGTTTCACTTGCTGAGCAATCTCTTAGGAATCTCTTTTCTGCATCATTTCTCCCTAGATTGGCAGAGGCCCTTCTAAGAGAAGAAAAAAAGGAATGTGGATATTGAGAGTTGTGTATTTTTATAAAACTTAGAGAAAGTAAGGCCAAGAAACAGAAAATTACTTTCTCTAGACTGTTACATTTTTCTGAACATTTGTGACTGTTATTAATGGGGATGGTTCATCTTTTTTTTTTTTTAATATATATTATTGATTTTTCACAGAGAGGAAGAGAGAGGGATAGAGAGTTAGAAATGTCGATGAGAGAGAATCATCGATCAGCTGCCTCTTGCACACCCCCTACTGGGGATGCACCCGCAACCAAGGTACATGCCCTTGACCGGAATCGAACCCGGGACCTTTCAGTCCCCAGGCCGAAGCTCTATCCACTGAGCTAAACCGGTCCCGGCAGGGGATGGTTCATCTTTTACTTCCCGTGCCTCCTAAAGCTGAAGAAGGAAAAAGTTACTGGAGAAGCAAATATGTCAGGCACTGTGCTCTGAATCCAGCTTTTCTTTCGTTTTTTTTAAATCTGGAATCTCATTCTATGCTTTTTTTGGAATTTGTTTTTCTGAGAAAACTGTCTCTAAGGAGATTAATAGATGGATAATGCTGTTGAATTTCTTTTAGTAATTCTTTTTTTAATACAGTTTTGGAGGAAATATTTTGTTTATAGTTTCCAAATGGAGTGTTTAAAGTAGAACCATAAATATCACCTGAATTTCTTTGTCCTTTTGTGTTTCCGTTCTAGTCAAGTGCCACCCATATTAATGGCCTCAGTGGATATTGTTGGGGAAGGGTGATGAGTCTGATCCCCTCCCAGTTAGCTTCTTGGGAGGAGAGAAAACTGGGAGGGTGTTGGAACCTGTGGAAAATGGACTGTCTCGTGTTAGCAATCTGTATTCCTCTGGAGAGTTTCACTGCAATGGAACAATTAGCTTCAACTGCTCAGCTCTACTTCCCATCTTCTTGACCAGGAGAAGGGGGCGGAGAAGGAGCAGGCCCTTGAGAGGATGCTCAGGGGCTACTGGGTTGACCTGGAAGGATCCAGACATTCACATCAGATTTCCTGGCCTACAGGGCACCTACAGGAAGTAAAAGAATATGCAACTATGGACCGCCTATTCTTCCCTTGTCCCCTTGGAGTTGACTGTGGCCCACGTTACCCAAAGAAAACAAATAGCATCTGGGTGGGGTGGGCAGCAAACACTTCAGATAGTTGAGATTGCTGTTTTAGGATGGTGAGGAGGGAGTTTCTCGTGCTTATGTTGTGCTATCTTCTCTTTCTTTTCTTCCCTTTCATCTGCTTTTGCCCTGAAGCTACTCCATTCGCCATTCCATAAGTATGCCTGCTATGAGGTAATGTGTGTAAATTATTTTACATAATATTAATGCAGAATATGTGTGAACGGTTACTTCACTGATATTTACCTGCTGTATTTTTTTTATCCTGTATATGAAAGGAAGTGCCATGACCTACTTTGTTCTCTGTTCTGGTGGTCCTCGGGAGAACCTGTAATACTTGGACAATTCTGTAAAAGTATTGTAGATGCAGTGAGCTTGGGCTTTTGACCAGACACCCCAGTTTAAATCTCCTGATATGTGAGAGTTGGGACAAGTTATTTCATTTACCTCAATCTTCATTAATAGCTACTTTATATAGTTGTTGCGAGATCTAAACAAAGTGACCTATGTAAGGCCTAGAATATTCTTAGCACACCTGCAAAGGTAGAAATATGTTCATTTCCCCCGGGTTAAATATAGGGCTGGTGGAAGAAAGTTTAAATAAAAGGGTTCAGTTTTAGAAAGGATATCATTGGGCTTTTTTAAGGTATAAATTAAGGTGAGGTATCTGTTGAACAATAAAAAATATCCTTGAAATGATTGTCTAGATGAAAACTGAGAAAGATGTCCTCCACATCCAGTGTGTTTGAGTTTGTCATAGAGTTTAGAGGAGGTGGTGATAGACTGGGAATCAGAGGATACAGGTTGTAGGCAGAGTCTGCCAGGAATGAACTTTGGAAAACACACCTCAGTGATATGTTCCATCACGTTCATAAATAAGAGACTCAAACCAGATGCACTGCTTTCCCCTGGTGGTTGCCTTGGGTTGCCATGGTGATGGGGGGAGGGGCAGAATCAAGGCCCTGGACCCCACTTTTGTTAAAACTGTGCCTCTCCAACCTACTTGGTGTCATATGTTGTGGGGTGGATACATTATAGGGGGGAGGTGTCAGTTACTCTTAACATGTTTAGTGTTAAGCCACGTTCTTTCTGGGGTCATTTGCACTGCTGAAAGTTTGTTTTTTATATAATCCGATTAAATCTGAGTAAACAGTTTCTCCCCGTTCTCCAGTATGTAGTCTACTGTAACTTAATTTGAGAAATGCCTGTTTCATTATGTCCGATGATGTCTTTTCTTCATTGGGGTTATTTGGTCACTTTGGGAATTTAATCACAGTATTCGAGTTCCCCTATTTGGTGGTGGAGAGCATAGACTCAGGATTGCTTTGTTTCTATGTGAATGACTTGCTCCTCACAGCATAAGAATAGCCAAACTGAGCAGTGTCACCGGAGAGGTTCTGAGCTCCTTATCAAATTTTAAGTCTAGAGCTTGCAAGAAATTAACATGATTTTTCTCTATGAACCAGGAATTCATCTAGTGGCTCATTGGTCAAAGTCAATCCTCATAAAATTGCCTAAAATTAGCTTTAAAAGAAAAATGATTTTACTCAGCTGGCATATACCCATAAACCATTAGGCACACTGTCTGCCCAGCGCGGCCTAATGTAACTGACGGATGACAGCAGTCATGTGAGCAGGCTGGCCAAATAGAACTTGCCATGGAAGTCAGGTGCCAATAAGTATCTACTTTTGAGTCTTTCAAGTGTAATTTCACTAATTCTTCCTCACGAAACAGAGGTATTATGAAGGATTTACTCGTAGGAATTTGACTCATGTTTGAATCAAATACAAGGCGCGATGCCATGCTTAGGCCTTCACATCTCACCATTGTGAATTCATGCAGACAGAACGCAAAGACATATATTTTTTATCATCTGGAGCATTCAAATCTTTGGCGATAATCCATAACAAAGCCAGTTAATTCAAAACCATGTCCTCTACATTATTTTCCTCTTGATAGTATTAGAGCGATGCTTCATTCCACACCGTACAATGAAGCGATGCTTTATTCCACACCATACAATATTTTATAGCCATTCTCTCTTTTCTCCAAGCCATTCCTTTATCTTCCTTCTTCTGCACTCAAGAGAGAATCATAAGTGGCTTAACAAATGGGAGAATAAGTGGCTTTTCAAATGGAATTATTTGGCTATCCTTGTTGCTGAAAGCTGACATGGACACAAGATTTAAGACACATTTTTAGTTCAGTTCTTATTTCTTTAGTTGGACTTGGTGATATCAATTTCCATGGTAATGTTGTCATTAAATCATGTCATGTGACCAAATCCGGTATAGAAAACCAAAAAGCACCAAATGAAGAATTTAATGCTAATAGTTACAAATGGTATAGATTATTTAACACAGTGACGACTCACAAATAAAATGTCAGTGGACTGTGAAGGCCCACTCTGCTAAGAGAACAATTAGTTATAGCCTTTTCAGAAGGGAAAATACCACATATTTATAACACCAGTTTGACCAAGCATTAGACAAGTAATAAGTAGTATTTCAACTTAAAGTAATCAAAGCATTGATGTTCAGAAACACTCCTTTATGGAAGTTTACCAAATGGTTACTTTTGAAGGCAGCAAAAAGAAAAACTTATAAACCTTCTTTTCTTGCGCTAGTTCTGTCTTGTCTCACATACACTGAAATAAATAAATTTAAAATTCCAAGTGCGAAAACTCAGACATGACATTCTTTAGACAGACTCTGCATGCTTACAAAATAAAAAAATAAAAGTTGGGAAAGACAGTGTTGTGATAGAAGCGATCAGTAAATGAGAAGTCAAGTTATCACTCGGTTGACTCAGTAATAATAACTCACGGTACATGATGGACTTATTGCATTTGTACTGTTGCCAAATGCCGTACTATACTACAGTTGAGTATCTCACTATTTCATTTGGAAAAATTCCATGTCAAGTATGGTTTCTGGATCTAACCTGGCAGAAGAGAAATACATGTACCGTAAATACATGGTTGGGATAGGTGCCACATGGACAGCTAGCTCCGGTGTGATGTTTCTAAGAGCCAAAATCAGACAGCTTAGTTACTAACACAGGTAGGTCTTTGGAGCTGACCTCTCTCTCTTTTTTTCTTTTTGTTATTTTAGGAATTCTCCTACTTTCAAATCATTTGAGGAGAGGGTTGAGACAACTGTCACAAGTCTTAAGGTACAGATGAAATGAACTTTGTGTCATCGGGCCATTGAATCAAGACAGCATAGTCATTGCTGTGGTTAGTTCCAAGGGTGCGCTGCCAACATGCAGTCGAGAAGGTGGCCTTGCACAGTCAGGCTTCACATATAAACCCGTAAATAAAAGTGTTTAGGGAGTGTTTAGGTGTGTATTCATCTCTGCACTAGTTATCTGGCCAGAACTCTTAATGCTATTCCTCGAAAAGTAGGTAAGTGAGAGAGGATGTGGATGGAGCAAAGGATCTGTGAATTCTGAATTTAGAGTGTAAGTTCAATTCCGGTTAATGCTCCTCTGGGACAGACATGGACTAGCAAAAGACAAACTTGGCTCCTGATACGGCCACTCACTACTTGCCAGCTGCCTAAACTGACTTATTCAATTCACATAGGAAGCACGGCACAGTTTGGTCACCATGCAGGGAAAAGAAAGCCGAGTCCCATGATGCATTATTTTGTACTAGTGCATTGGGTCCCTGGGTAGGAACTGAAAATATGCCATAGTAGAAGCTAAAAAATTTTATTGATTTTTTTGTTTGTTTGTTTCAGCATAGATAAGTTATTCTACAGAGAAATAAAGAGTGAAATTAAACCCCATCTAATCTTAAAATGTATAGAACGCTTATAGGAAAAATCAGTGAGACGGCTAAGATTATGTTTTTAAAGATAGCACCTAAACAATGACTTACCTATGTGTTGGTATCATTATCACTGTTTTGTAGATAATCCATTTCTGCATTTCCCTGTTACTGAGAAGATTAAAAATACAGATGATCTTTAATTAGATCAAAAACAGCTGTTTGCACTTGCTGATTGTCCAGCTGCTTCTGAATCCCCTGTGGCCATGCTACCTGAGGGGTCTGTGAGGGTGCTCTCATTGAATTTAATTTGGAAGGCCTTTCCCCTGAGGGGTTGGGTCTTTAACATAGAATTCTCCCACTTCCTTAGGTCTGTGAATAGGTGTTGAAGGCCCAAGAATGAAATAATTACTCAGCATCTGCCATGCCTTCCCTGGTTTCATTTACTAGCAGTTTCTAGTTGTGCGGTTTCATCCCTCTGCTTGTCAGCATCATCATTTGAGTGACCAGTAGGATCCATTAAATCTCCCCCCATTGGCAGGGAAACTTTTGATAAGGAGGGACATGCATTATCTCGGACCTTTCTGTTGCTAGAATATCCCGTTTTAAAACAAAGGGCTCATCAAAAAACAAAACAAAACAAAACAAAAAAACCCTAGGAGTCAGTTTCTCAACATCTGGTTCTCAGCCTACGACACGCCAAAGAGGATGGATTCTGTTGCTTGTTAGACAAGTTCTGACTTGGGAGGAGTTGTGCTTTTTAGGTTTTCTTTAGAAGAAGGAGCTATGAAGAAGCACAAGAAGATTAAAGAGCAACCAATTTTCATTTGCTTTTAGGAAACTCTGGTAAGCGCACAGCTCCCATATGACTCTATGATTTCAGTGTTGCCCACACTCTCAGCTTCTCGCTCTCTTGCCTCGCTGGGATGGAAGGTATAGAGCCTGTCTCCTCCTTCAAACATGCGCAAAGACTAACTCAGCCAGCTGGTAACAATCCTCCTGAAAGTGAATTCTGTGTTGGCATGATTGTCCATGGGTTTAACAAGACTCACATCCCACCTGCTTCCTGTGCCACGGTCAATGCCTCGTTCCTCTGTTTCTGCCCACCCAGGCGATGAAGAATAGCCAGCAACCATGCTTTGTGTGAAACCTCCCACTTCTTCATAATTGCAAATTTATCGGTTCTTTTTTCCTTCAGACTGAATAATAGATGTTTGGCCTTTCTTATATATATATCTAGCTTATTTTCTGTATAGTTTACTTTTGTGTCCCAAATCTTTTACAAAATGTCTGTCATTTTCTTCCATTGTGGCTCCCTAGGCTGTTTCCTGCTGAGGGAATGACTGGGGGATCAGCAGGACGTGTGAGATTCCGGGCAGGTCTATATGCTGCATTGCCATGCTCATTTATTGCTTCAAGCTAGATTTTTAAACAAAAATCAGGACACTTATTGTTTCTTTGTGTCCTTTCAAACAGGCATTTTGTTAGGAGAGGTTAGGAAACACAATTAATTGATTCAAATAAACCTTTTTTTTTTTTTTTGCAAAGAACAAGTATAATTTTGGGGACAAGGTGACAAATTCTTGTTTGGAAAACCATGACGAGGGGAAGTGATATGGAGTGGTTTATTGTTCACATCTTTGCTTAAGCCAGTTCTTGCCTAAGTATTGCAGTGGGCAGTCATTAAGCCCACATAGTTAGGAAACTCCGTTATTTCACTCCTTTTGGCCTAATAGCTTTATTTCAAAGTAGTTTCCCTCCTTCTTTACCTTCCTATTTTGATGTGAGAAAATCAGGACGTCAGAGAGAAGAAAGAAACGAAGCCCAGAAGAAAGCATGAGTAATTTGTATTGATCTGATTCAATACTGGGTGTAACATGTATTGCAAAAAAGGAACGTGAATAAAACAGAGAGGAGAATGGGAACTATTGATAGGGTAAATCACAGTGGATTATCCTTGCTTCTCCCAGAAAAGAAATAAGCATAGTGGAGGGGGCGGGGGGGGGGCGAGTCACATAATGGAAGGCAACCCCCTCCTTTCCAGTGCTAAGAGGAGAAATCGAATGCTCTGTGCAAGGTCTGTACCCTGAGGCTTGGGGTCACCTATTTTGAATGCTCTGTAAGCTAAGAATGGTTTTTACACATCTTTAATGGCTGGAAAAGGAAAACAACAAAGAAAAATCCTATTTGTGACTTGTGAAAGTTAAACTGCATGAAATCCACGCTAGGGTTCCATACAGCCTTTCTGACCCACGGCCGGGCTCTTCCCCTTACGCGTTGTCTTCGGCTACTTTGGGCAACGGCTCATTTGAGTATTTGTGATTCCCACGCCTGAGATACAGGGTCTCCCCCCAAAGTGTATGCACACACGTTGAACAATTACAAAGGCAGTACTTACTAAATACATTTCGTTTTGAAAACCGAGCTAACGGCTGGTAAAGTGTGAACACGTGTTGTGGGGCACCTGCCACTTTCCCCAATGCCTTTCCCGACCGCCCAGCTGATGGAAAAATCCAACGTTGTGATTGGATTTGAAGAGGCAGAGAGGCACGTTAGTGACTTTTGGAGACAAGTGTGTGTGTGCTCGCAGTGATTGACCTGCTTTGGAAGCCTGGTGAAGGCTTTAAAGGGGCAGGCCGGGCGGTAGGCGGCTACGCTGCTTCCCCAGAGTGGTTCGTGTTCTTGGGAGGGATCGCCGTGGTGACGGTGAGGCGTGGACAGCAGTTTGAGAAGAGCAACCTTTTCTGTTCCTTTCTTTCCCTCGGAGTGTTTTCCAATATTGTTAATGGTTAAAGAAAGGCTGATGTAACTATTATGAAGACTTTGATTAAGCATTCTGACTAACTTAAAAATATATATATTCTTTCGAAGAACTTTTTATTAAGGAATTTTTCAAAGTACTTAATCATATTATTTAAGTATAAATCTATTTCTTCCTGAGTCTATGCTTAATAACCAGGACGCAAAAAAGGAGCCTTGTAAAGGGCTTTTCCTCCTGTAATGGCAACTGCCAAAAAGATGCGAAGTGACCAGGGCTTAACCCTTCATTCACCTACAGCTCTCAAAGCAGAGACCAAAGATCTTGTTCCGTTGGGCCACGCTGCCTTTTCAAGAGACATTTGTCAGCAATGCAGATTGCCTGGTTAAATCTCAACTGGACAACCTGAGTCTAAATCTCTTTAAAATGCCCATACATTTGTAGGATCGGGGGAATCTAAAGTCCAGTTCTGTTTCTTATGAATTCAATCGTTTCTCTGGGTGAGCGAGGAGACAATTCGAATCCACAGATCTGGTTAAGCTCCTGGAGGGATTGAGAATGTAGAAGAGAGAGAGAGTTGCTATCATTGTACGAAACTGAAGTTTCTCTTCCAATCCCAGAACCCGGGCATGCCTGGCATCCTAGTTAGCCCTCTGCCTAAGGAGACTGACTTCTCCTCATCCTTTACAGACTCAGGGGGCGCGGGGGAAAGTAGTTCCGAACTTGAGAACAATCAATGTTTTAAAAACATTTCAGAACCCAATGAACTAACTGCATGTCTGCTTCTCTGCCCCTTTCAGACGAAAGTAGGCGGGCCGAACCCGGGCGGAGGCAGCTTTGAGGAGGTGCTCAGCTCCACCGCCCATGCCAGCGCGCAGAGCTCGGCGGGCGCCCCCCGGCGGGAGGAGGAGGAACTGCAGTGCTAGGGCTGCCAAGCCCCAGCCCATCACATACACACACCCCCACCCCCACACCCCACCCCTGCACACGCCCACACGGATATGAAGACCAAGATCGCACTGGCAAAACCCAGGCCTTGACCTTCAAATGGCCTCTCCACCCAGTTCCATAAAGTGATTTCCATTTGTATTTGTGTTGATAACGGACCCTTCGACCGCACCCTTACGTAGTCACAGGGGGTCATCGTTTAAAATGCCCTGATTTGAGCAGGCACACAATTGGTCATGACCCTTCTCTTTTTCAAACATAAGCTATTGTTTTGCTTTGGTTCTGGCTTGGACGCCATTGCCATGCGCATGTCTTTGAAGGCTGAGTGAGCACCCCCTTTCGGTTCAGTCAGTCCACTGGGGGGCGCTGTCTCCGTCTCCAGCAATGGGATGACACTGCAAATTTCACCCAACGGCTTGTGGTTCGCCTCACCTACATTAATCACACGCTTGTGTAAGCAATTAAAATAGTTGATTTTAATGATGACTTTGAGTTCTTAATTTCTTTAAGTCTCCAGGGATATCGATGACCTTAAAAGGTGGCAGCAATAATTCTGCAGACGCTAGTTTATTTTATCTTTAAAATATATTTTATTGACTTTTACAGAGAAGAAGGGACAGGGATAGAGAGTTAGAAACATCGATCACCTGCCTCCTGCACACTCCCTACTGGGGATGTGCCCGCAACCAAGGTACATGCCCTTGACTGGACTCAAACCTGGGACCCTTGAGTCTGCAGGCCGGCACTCTATCCACTGAGCCAAACAGGTTAGGGCTGCAGATGCTAGTTTAAATCAACTCTTGCTATCTGATGAACATGGAAATGGATAGATAAATAATTAATAATCTCAGCTACTTTAGGATGCTAAAACTTCAATTCTAAAAAGTCTCTCTAATCTACATAGAATAGTAGTTAACTGAGGTAAACTGACTATGTAAGGGTATCTGCAAAAGGAATTCAGTAGCTAGAAAGCGGGGGAAGCACCCTAGCCTATTTGGCTCAGTGGCTAGAGCCTCCACCTGCGGACCTAAGGGTCACGGGTTCAATTCTGGTCTCAGGTCTGGGCCCTGGTCAGGGCATATGCAGGAGGCAAGCAATCAATTTCACTCTGATATCTGTGAGTGATATAAGGACCATAACATGAGTTCCCTTTTTTAAAAATTTTGTTATAGGATGTGCATGAACAAGCCAAATCAATGATTAGAACAAGACATTTGCTGGTAGGAAGGTAGTCTTGGGCTAGAGCAGTGGTTGGCAAACTCATTAGTCAAGAGAGCCAAATATCAACAGTATGACGATTGAAATTTCATTTGAGAGTCAATTTTTTTTAAACTTAAACTTCTCCTAACTTCACTTCTTCAAAATAGATTTGCCCAGACCTTGCTATTTTGTGGAAGAGCCACACTCAAGAGGCCAAAGAGCTGCATGTAGCCGCAGTTTGCCGACCACAGGGCTAACGATTTCATTGCTGTATTGCCTGCTCACTCAAGAGCTGCCTGTTTGCCCCTCACTTTGCAAGTGCAAGTTCCCACGCAGTAGTCCTGTTCCAGAAGTGCTGAGGCATTTGCACACAATGGACGTGACCTTTTAGTAACAAATCAAAATGACATCTGGTCAGGACCAAGCCTATACAAAATGATACCACAAACTATCTACAGCAGTCCTCATCCCCGGAGTCCCTTTCTACAGTCTGTTACCCTCAGTCAACCTCGGTCCAACAATATTAAATGAAAAATCCCAGACATAAACGATTCGTGAGTTTTAAATTGCACATCATTCTAAGCAGCATCACGGAATCTCGAGCCAGCCCTGTCCATCGTGCCAGAGACGTGAATGAGCCCTTTGTCTGGTGTCTGCACGTTGTGTATGCTCCCCACCCAGTAGTCACTTGTCTGAATTGTCAGTTGCAGTGCTTGTAACCCTTGTTTTACTTAATAATGGCCCCAAAGGGCAGGAATGGGAATGCTGGCAGGTCAGAGGTTTACTCACCTTGTGGCCATGCCAGACAAGCCCCATCCCAGGTCCCTTGCTTGTGAAACCTGCCCCTATCAGTCTAGAGTGGTCTGCCTCTTCCTTCGGTTTCTCCTTGCTCTCTGTGTACGGTGGCCAGCTTGTGAACCAACAGTTCAAGCCAAGGATAGCCTTTACTCTGCAACATAATTATAGGATTTGTTATTCAGAAAACCAATTCCAGGCAAGTAGCGGGTATCTCCCAAGAAAAATACATTTTTAAAAAAATATTTTTTATTTTTTGGGGTGATAGAAATATTGATGAGAAACATCGATTGGCTGCCTCCTGCATGCCCCCTACTGGGATTGAGCCCACACCCCAGGAATTGAACTGGTGATCTCTTGGTTCCTGGGTTGGAGCTCAAATGCTGAGTCACACCAGCCAAGTGAAAACTACATTTTTAAAGTGATAATGTTCAAATATTTGTAGACATTGGCAGGTGAAATCAATAGTTTTTTGTTTTTTTTTTTTAAATGATCTCAATTTTGTTTTTATGATACTTTATTTATAGCACCATTGTATTTCGTTGTTTTTAAACACATTACCTCAGTGAGGAAGGCTTGGGACTGTGTGAGCCCTCAACGTGGTGGGTAAATGGAAACTGAGATAATGATTAAGTGACAAGTAAAGTCTGTGAATTTATGTAAAAAAAAAAAAATAGAGCAGGCAGAACATCCCAAATAATACTCAAGGGCCACAGGAAATCTCCTGGTTATAAATATTTGAACCTTATCTGGAGTTTTCTTGTGCCAGAATACATTCTAAAATACCAATAAATGTGGTTCTGTTTCCCTGCTAACTATATTTCCAATAATAACCACCCTCTGCTGGTTTCCAGTCATTTACCACCTTTTAAATACTGTTAGGAGGCAGCAGTATTTGGATGCAAAGCAGCACTGCTCTTTTCAACGCAGAGCAGCTAGTTATATGCACGTGTGTGTGCTGCCTCTGAAGAGATCGTGCACCTTGCTTCCCGCAGATGGGGTATCCATGGAGACTGCAAAGAGTTTCCAAAGAAACGCTGCCAGCTGGAAAGGCTTTCTTCAAATAGAAACTGACATTTAAATTAAAGGGACAGGCATCATGTTCCACACCAAAATCTATCAGTGCGAAATACTGAGCAGGTTTGCACCAAGCAGCCTTCTCTTCCTCGCCATTCAATGCTTGAGCAAGGCCAGCGGGCAGACCACTCATCCTATAAAAGAGGGGAAGAAGCCAGGTCTGACGTGTTCCCTACATACACACCAAGTCCAGTGACCCCGGCAATACTCCTATGATTACCTTTTTCTCACTTGGTGGTAAACATTCCTATAACCAAAGTCTGCACGTCTTTGAGCAGACAAGAAAAACTACACCAAGGAAGACAAGTACCATGTGGAATTGCATACCCCAACCTGTATCTCCAAGTGACAAAGAGAACTGGGGGAAGGTCGGAACCTGTGAGCAGGTGTACACACCCATGATTAGAGGCCTAAAGCAGGTCACAATGAAATTAAACATCTGGTTCCGGAGAGTGAGCACCTGCATAAAGCAGCATTTCACCTGAGAGAAGAAGGCATGATAATATTCTTTTTCCTAGATCCTTATCACTAAGTCGGCTGAAAAACCAGGTCTTCAAAGCAATAATGAAATCTCCTATTGTTCAATGAATCTGGCCCTCGGGAATATAGGCTATAAATTCAGTAGATTGAAAACCTCCAATGAAGATTCCAAAGTTTAGGGTTTTAACATGTATTTATTTAGTTCATAAAAAGACACCTCCTCTCCCACACCCTGCCAAGTCTTCACCCGTGCGTTCTCATGACCCCATCCTGTTCTGCGGCTTTTTTTTATGGCCCAAGTGACATCACGTTTCTTGCTGGCGTCCAGGCGATTGAAAATAAACAGACTCACATCTGGGGAAACTAACAGGCCAACAGTGGCAAACACAATACATCCAATGGGGAAAGAAAACGTTTGTTACAGGACTGCGACAACACAGAGAACTTCTCAGGAGTGCGCCTCACCGGCGGCAGCAGCAGCAGCAATCTTAGCGTTTCTTTCAGCTTCGAGTTCCGAAACCAGCTGGATGATCTCTGGGTGACGGAACTTTCCTGCCAGGCAAGAGGACGGAGAAAGATAAGGATGAGAAAATACAGCAGTCTCTCCAGCTTGAGCCCAAGCCTTGTCAGGGGCTTGGCTCTGTGATCTGACCCATGTTTTACTCCAACGCAGAACACAATTCCAGATCCTTCCTTCTGGTTGGGAGCGAGGCCAGAGGGGAACACCTGGAGCTTATTCTCCGTCACCCCAGATGTCACCGCTCACAAGGAGGAGAATCAGGCAAAACTATCGACTAGATGGGAGCTAGGAGGAATGCCGCCAGGCAGCGTCTGAATGAGGAACCACAGGGAAACGCAGGAGCTCAGTGCAGTGAGGTTTAACCTCAGCTCAGTTATGGGCACGTCACCCTCTCTCCAGGCTCAAGTATCTTCCTCAGGAAAAGAGGGAGTTTAGCTGGTGATCCTTCCAGGTCCCACATTTTTATTTTACTAGTATTTTCATATTTCATTCTTCATTGAGAATGTGTCAATGGAAGATAATGTTAAAATGCAAAGTACCATGACTTAGTTATATTTTAGTTACATTATTGGTAAAATATGCTATCTTAGAACCCAATCATTGCTTAAAACACAGCTGGCATGCCCTAGCCAGTTTGGCTCAGTGGATAGAGCTGTCGGCCTGTGGACTAAAGGGTCCCAGGTTCGATTTTGTCACACGCCTGGGTTGTGGGCTCAATACCCCCCAGTGGGGGACGTGCAGGAGGCAACCAATCACTGATTCTCTCTCATCACTGATGTTTCTAGCTCTCTCCCTTCCTCTCTGAAATCAATAAAAATATATTAAAACAAACAAACAAATAAAAAATACACACACACACACAGCTGGTAACCCTTTTCTGTAAAGAGATAGATATTAAATATTTTAGGCTTTGTGAACTTATATGACTCTCTTGCAAATTACTCAACTCTGCTGTTGTAGCACAAAAGTAATATAAACAATACATAAAGAATGAGTGTGATTGTTTCAGTAAAACATTACACAAACAAGTACAGCGGGCCAATTTGGCCCATGGGGCATAGTTTGCTGACCCCCGGTATACAACATTATCCTATTTAATTAGGATTATCCTATTTACAACATCATCCTATTTAATTAGGATTATCCTATTTACATTATCCTATTTACAACATCATCCTATTTAATTATGATTATCCTATTTACAATGTAATCCAAAACTTTTTTGAGCACCACCTACATCAAAGGACATATGAGACAAAGTTGGTGTTGGCCCTGAAACACCTTCTAGGGTGGGGTGAGCAAGTGTGGGTTTGGGAAGAGACCCAAGGAGGAGCATCATTCGGAGAATGCGGGTCAGACAGTGAAACACCACGGTAAGCTCTGGACTGGGGCAGATTAGCAAAAAGAGGGGAACACTTCATCTTGACAGGGAGGTTTAGGGAAGGAAATGAGAGGGGCGAGTGGCCTTAGGCAAAGTATCAGGATTTCATTTTTTCAGGAAAAGGAAAGCCACAGTTTTAAAAGCAAACCCTCAGGATGAATGGCGAGTCTAGCCGGCTCAGTTAGGCGGTTATAACACCCCAATACAGAAATAATGAGGCCAGGCCTAGAGCAGACCTAGTGCTGGAAGAGAGAAGGAAAATCCAATCAGCTTCATTACAATGCAAACCATTTCAGGGCATAGTCTGGGATCTGGGACCCTCCTCTCCTTGGTGGGGCCACAGGGGGGGTCCCAGAAAGGCTCTCCCTTACTACTCTGAGGGGGGCTGCTGGGCCTGCAGAGCTCCCAGGCAGAGACAGGAACACCAGCGGTGCGCCAGCCGTCACTAATTCAGGAAACCTGGCTCCCACTCTGGAAACTGGATCAAAACGAAGATGGCTGAGGGTTACTGCCAGGTATTATTCTAAGCACTTCACATGAATGAACCCACGAGATCCTCAAACAACCCTGAAAAGTACATTCTGTAATTATCCATACTTTCAAAATGAGGAAACGAAGGCCCAGAGCTAGGTTAAGTGATTTACTAGAGGTTACAGATTTTATGGGCAGAACCGCGATTCAAACCCAAGCAGTGTGACTTGTCTTAAATCTCTATTTCTACCTCCACCTCCACGTGCCCTTACACCTAGGAAGCACTCAGAGATCATACTGCACTTTCACATGCATCATGTCTCCTGAGTCTCAAAACCGACCTATGATGCCCATTTCTCAGAGAGGACACGGCGAGGTCAGGAGACTGCCCAGGGGCACCCAGCTCGGACTCCGGGGGGCAATGCTTGCCCACACCAGGCCAGCTCTCCCCGAGAATCCCACCGCTTTCTCTTGGGAAAGGTCAGAAGAGGGTCACAAGAGTAGATTCACTGGCTCAGTGTGACGACACAGGAGGAAGCCCCGCGGTGACGACGCTTATGGAAGCAGCACTGCGCACCTGCCGTGGAGTCATAGAAGTCCTGCAGCCTCCCGGGCTTGTTCTCCAGGTCTTCGTACTCAGAAGCCTGAAGGATCATCTCACACTGGTCCAGCTGCTTCACAAATTTGGCCTCCGCGCTAGCTTGGGTCTCATACTCCTACGAAAGGGACAATCAGAGCAGCATGGTTAGGGCTCACGGCAGGATAATCCAGGACAATTCTGACTCTGGTACCTGAAAGCAGTCACAGCTGGAAGGGCGTTCTCAACTGGCCACATCTCTCCACCTGCAACTTCACAGCTAGCATCGTCCCTCCACAGCCAGCATCGTCCCTCCACAGCCAGAAGGGGTGCTCACACTTCCATGTGTCCCACCAGATGCAAGCCTTGGAAGTCTCATGTGTTCATATTGACGCTCTAAGCATTTTTCTTCCTGTTAAGAATCTTGTCTCCATTTCAATCTCATTATTCTTTAATCCAGGGGTTGCCAACCTTTCGGACCGCCGGTTGGCGACCACTGTGTTAGTCCACCTGAGTGGTGTAGGTCTTTACCTTCAAGCTAATATTGCATCTCATGCTTCTCAAATTATTTCTATCTAATGCCAGGTTTCCTTTTCCTCCAAGGAAACTTCTAGCTTTCTCATTTAATTTTGGTTAGCACTTTATGCTTGGAACATCAGTCCTTGCTTTCTTTTAAAATATTTTTTATTAATTTCCGAGAGAAAGGGAGAGCGAGAGACAGACACATCAATGATGAGAATCATCCATCAGTTGCTTCCTGCATGCCCCCCTATTGGGGATCGAGCCCGCAACCTGGGCATGTGCCCTGAGCGGGAATGGAACTATGACCTCCTGGTTCATAGGTTGATGTGCAACCACTAAGCCAGGGTGGCCGGGCTGGCCTTGCTTCCTAAAGAGGGAGGCCTCCAGCCTGTCCTGGTTATGACTCGATCCAGTCAGGATCTGTGGATTCTTCATGGCGTGTGTGGCAGGGAGGTGGTGAAGGAAGTGGACACTGAGCAGATTTTACCTTTCCTCTTCCCATTGGCCCCTCCCTCCTCAGTGCGCACCTGAAATGAGCTACAGGAAGTCTGTACATGCCACACAAACACAAGTCCCAATTAATACCACATAGAACTATTCTATTAACACCAAAGTGCTCCCGCTGGTTTCCCTGCCAAGTTCTCATTGTAATTCCCCCCCAGATGTGTTCTATAATGAACCTGTCATGCTTTCTTGGCAAGATAATGTGATGGGAGTCACTGACGGTTTCTTAGTCCTTGTTAAATGCCTTATTCTTTTATGACAGCTATTTGAATTTTGATAGACATTAAAATTGTACAGAGAAATAATTTTAATATAAAACCAATACATTTTTATTTCAAAGGCACTTGGAAATAGTTACATTTAATTTAAATGTCTGTTTACAGTTATATATTTACTAGCGGCCCAGTGCATGATTAAATCATATGAGTGTAGGGTCCCCTAGGCCTAGCCTGCCATCAGGGCCATGTCCGCCATCCTGAGATCTCGCATGCTCCGTGGATGCTGCTGGCGCCCTGGGGGGCAGTGGGGAGTGGGGGAGGGGGGGAAGGAAGGGAGGTAAGGCCCGAGAACCTCCTGGTGACGGTCATTTGGTTGTTATGGTGTTATGGCCATTGGCCTTTTATAATATAGATATTTAACAAATTTATCATTACTTAACAAAAATAAATCGAGTTCTCTAAACACAGCAGTCCAGGATTTTTCTCAGTTGAAAATGAGAAAAAAGATACAAAACTATTAAGAAATAATATATTTTATAACAAATTGTGAGGAAAATACATATTTATTTGTAAACTATACATCACTGGATTTTCTCTCAAAAAATAATGGTACGGAATTATTTAATTTTACTTTCCAATCAGGGATATTTTTCCAAAGCAAAATGAAGGCTATGGAGTAGGCTTCTTTCTGTGACATTTTGAGAAAGATGTTTTCTCTTGACTTGCTAAAATCTGACTTCACACTTTATGGTAAAAGATAAATTATAATCAAGGATGTTTAATGGTTTTAAAAAGATGTGACTTTCTAGGCTGACAGCTATTTATAATGGAGAATAGCTGTGAATAACAGTGCAGAAATCAATTAACTGACAAGTTTGAGGCAGCCCTAGGAAACCAACAGTCTCTTACCTACAATAATAAGCAACTGACATGGTGCCACGAATACCCTAGAATTATAAATGCTGTTCGCTTAGCCAGCATGCAGGAGTATCCTGATCAGAAAATGCTGTCTTAGACATCTGATATGAAGCCCACATACACACTCACCCGCTCCACTAACAAACCAATAAACACGGATCCTTAACTTGTATCCTGTCTGTGCCTCTGGGCCCGTGACCACCCCACTGACCTGCAGCAGCTTTCATTTGTAGGCCCGTGTTGATCGGGTAAGGAGAGCTTAAGAGCCCGGAAAAATATTTTCTATAAATAAATTTCTATAATTCTGTCTGAAAAATGTGTTGCTACTTATTCATATGGTCTTCATTTTTCTCCTCTGGCCCTTAATAAAAAGAAAGAAAAAACAACAACCACCACCACCCAAAAAATGAGTTCCCCATCCCTGTCATAGCAACTTCATGTCAGAAAGTAGAAACTCTCCTCCACTCAGTCATCCATACCCCACAGCGTCTCCAATAAGGAAACTGAACCTCGGCCGTCTTTTTAGGTGCTGGTGGGCCAGGAGCGATTCTAAAGGAGGCCTGTCACACCCAGGGCGGCCACTGTCCTTGTCCTTGTTCTCTAACAAGTGTAACTAAATCAACCAATGACTTTTACAACATCACACAGTTGTTACTGGTTTGGGGATTATGGGATCCTTTAACGCTCGGTGTTTTACAGTTTTCCCAATCCAAAGTCTTGCTCAGTGACTGTTGTAGCACGTTCATTTGTAAACTACTGTTGTGGTTAAGTAAATTTTGCAGTAAGCTTTCTTTAGCCAGTTCTTGATGGCTAACTAAGAAAATAACAGACACTGCCACCGTATTTACAATAATTAGGAGTCACAAGAATAGGAATTTTGTAAAAGGGTTTCAAATTCTGAGGTCTTTTCCTCCTTAAGAGATAATACAAGGAATTAGTTCCATAAACTCAGGAGCCATTTTTTAAAGAAAATGTATGAAATGCAACACAACTCCACTCCATTATTCCCCGATATTCAGAAGGGACTGTTCTGCCTAAAGAACCCCTGTTGGGCCTAGTAACCAATACCACCGAGCCAGGCTCCCAGGTACCACCCAACCCACCACATGCACTTACTTCCCAGAGTTCATAGAGCTCCTTTCCGAGATCCGTGGGGAGAAGCTGGGTTAGCTGCTTCATAGCTTCCTGAAACATCAAACCGTCATTTTAATCATGTCCACCTTTCAGCTCACTTATAAAGCCAAGCACTGGTCTCAAACTCTCACACATAACCTAAAAGGGGCAGCAGAATATTGGACAACATTTACAGCTTACCAGGGCAGCCGTGCCCATTTGAGGTCATGCAACCAGCGCTACCTGTAGTTACTGACGTGTGGTCTGACCAAAGTGGAACGGAAGGGAACCTCAGCCTCAAGCTAGACCCTGCATTTCTATAAATGCAGCACAGGACTGAACTGGCTCTTTGGAGACCACATCAAATTACTGATTTACTAATAAACTACCTATTGACGCAAATCGCCATGCTATTAAAAACAAAACAAAACAGATAAACAAGCCGAATCCGGTTTGGCTCAGTGGATAGAGCGTCGGCCTGCGGACTCAAGGGTCCCAGGTTTGATTCCGATAAAGGGCATGTACCTTGGTTGCGGGCACATCCCTAGTGGGGGATGTGCAGGAGGCAGCTGATTGATGTTTCTCTCATTGATGTTTTTAGCTCTCTGTCCCTTTCCCTTCCTCTCTGCGAAAAAACCAATAAAATATATTTAAAAAACAAACAACAAAAAACAAACAAACAGATATACAATACATTGCTCTCTTCCTGAAATTGAGCAACAATATCCTGGATCTAAACCCACATCATTGGTTATTATACAGCAGAAGTGCATCTCAAGGCCTCTTGGGTAGTCGATATTCCTTGTCTGGCAGCCTCTGCCACGGAATCATGCCCACCATTTCCAATGAGCCCTCGGAAACAGACCCACAGAAGTCCAGGTTACGTGGCTGAAGGTGCCGGCCTTTCCCTTCCTGATGGGGAGCCCTGCCATTCCCACTCCCAACCCATTAGCCTTGTTCACACACAGACTTAGAAATAATTCCTGTCAAGATTCTGCCCAAAGGTCTGAGCTGAATGAAGCTTTCAGCAAAGATCTGTGTCGGTTACGTGACGAGCACGAAAGCATCATTCACCGTTCACACATCATTGGTGACAAGAACAGTGCCGCGGTCACTGCAAACTATCAGCCCAGAGGGGGTCTGAAACCAGCTGGCCATTTACCCTCTGTGGAAACCTGAGCAAGCTACTTAAACTCTTTGTGCTTCAGGTTGTCATCTGTGAATTGAGGTTAGCAGGGGTCCCTACCGGAAAGGATTGTTGTGTGGCCCCAATAGTTTATGTACATAAAGTACTTACTACCTGGCACATACTGAGCACTGTTTAAAATGTTCACTATATTTCTCATTTTCTCCATCTTGTCACGTTCACTCTCATAATATAGTTTGGTTCTTCTCTCTCTTTTTAAAAAAATATATTTTTTTTTTTATTTCAGAGGGGAAAGGAGAGGGAGAGAGAGACAGAGACATCAATGATGAGAGAGAATCATTGATTGGCTGCCTCCTGCACACCCCACCCCCTACTGGGGATCGAGCCTGCAATCTGGGCATGTGCCCTTGACTGGAAATGAACACAGGACTCTTCAGTCTGCAGGCCAAAGTTCTGTCCACTGAGCCAAACCAGCTAGGGCAGTGGCCGGCAAAAACATTTGTCAACAGAGCCAAATATCAACAGTACGATTGAAATTTCTTTTGAGAGTCAAATTTTTTAGACTTAAACTTCTTCAAAATAGATGTACCCAGGCCGTGGTATTTTGTGGAAGAGCACACACAAGGGGCCAAAGAGTCACATGTGGCTCGCGAGCCGCAGCTGGCCAACCACAGAGCTAGGTGGCAGTTCTTTTAACCTCAGTTCTTTAACAACTTTAACCCTTGAAGATACATAAATACCATAGCTCTCCTTCTGTCTCACTGTTTGTGCCTTTACAAAAGTACGTAACCTCCATTGATGTACTCAAGTCTCATGTTCCATCCCATACCAACTTGGGTTATAATATAAAGTACGCTTTATCCTGGTAGGACGGGGTCAGACTACAAGTACCGGTACTGCTTTTGGTCCCTACATTTTCTCTTTATGTCCCCATCCTCCCTTTCATCCAAACATTTTCTCGCCTTCAAAACAGTCGGCCTTCCAGGCTTAGAGTATTTTCCCTGCCTCCTCCTTCGGCTTAGAGCCTTCCTGCTGCAGTTGGTGAGCCTCTGGGCAAAGGACGTTCCCTGCTTCTCATCATGTGCAACTCACCTCGAGCCAGGAAACCCTCATTTAATCATCTTAATGCATGGCTCAGACATCCACCTCTTACTCATGAGGACCATCTGCACAAAGAATGGCTCATCTCCCAGACCCTCCTCTCTGTTCCCAAATCCTTGCCAGCAGCAGGAAGAGGCAGTGGAGTATCAGTGCTCTCCAGGCCTTTGGCTTCTTGTCCAAGAACCTGTGGTTCTCAAAGATGCTTCCCTTGTCCCTTCTGAGTATGGTATTCACCCTGCTGTGAATCAGGAGTGGGCAGCAGATAGGAGGCTTAATGAGGTTTCTCATAATCGCCAGGATACAGAGTCCAGGAGGACAGCACCACGCCCTCTGACGGTTCAGGGCTACTCTGTGCCCTCCACGGAGGCCAGGACTCAGCTCTCGTCAGGACAGAAGTAGGTCCCCTCCACCTCCAGTAGCTGGAGATCCTTCCTATGGACAGCGCTTTGCCTTACGGAGTAAGCTTCCATGCCCCTGTGGACCTGCATAGGGTCAGCCTGTCTTTTCTGCTTCCTAGGACACTTCAAAGTCTTTGGTTACCCTCTGGTATTTCCGTACATGATCTCTTGTCCACAATGTCCAGTTGTACCCTTAAAGATGTGCCCTTGAATAAAACTGCCATATATTCTGAAATGAGCTGTATATTTGAGGGGTTTCCCTCCCCCCCCCCCTTTTCTCTCTATGTCATAAGTCATTTCTCAACATCTCTGGTTGAGGGCTAATTACTTTCTGTAACTCAGTATCTTGAGCTAACTGGTCCCAGTTTAAATCATTTCTGTTAATCAACCTAGGATTTTTTTTTTTTTTTTTTTAAGAATGGCTTTTCTTTTCTCATCTCTTTTTTAGATTATTTAAAAAAATTATTGTTCAGTTATAGCTGACATACAGTATGACATTAGTTCCAGGTGTATAACACAGAGAATGATTAGAGACGTCTATACCTCAGAAAGAGGTCACCTCACAACAACAGTCTAAACTATGGAGAAACAGTTCCTTAGCTTCCGCCCTTTCTGTAGGCTGTGACGATGCTGAGCCTGTATTCCATACCCGTATTTTGGCAGGAAAAATATTCCTTACACTATTCCTCTCGTTCCCGTAATTTAAAATATGCTGGAATTCCTAAATTGGGATTCTTTACGGCTTCTCTGCCTGTAGAGAGGCAAAAACGCTGTTGGCTAGGTTAGTCTCCCCTCAGCTCTGAGAACAGCTAGCCAGGCCACCTGCCCTGTTAAACCATCTTGATAAAGGGCTTGTCCGCTCAGCAGTTTAGGATTTCTGGCCCAGGGTGAAAGCAGCTTGCAATGATCCCTGAACTGAGAACCAGCTATTCAGCATCAAAATCCCTCTCGGATGTTGTGACCTCTGCTGTGAGTATGTCTTCCTCTTTGGCCCTGGCCTCTGGGCTTACCGCCCGAACGGATACTGATTTCCCATTTTATTGATGTCGTTCCTTTCTTACTAATACAAACATTTCCTTACTTCTGACCACGAAAGAACGAATTTAAAATCCAACAAACAATTACAAAAATGATTATACTTGCAATTTACAGAACTTCTTTCCAAAGAACTTAACTCGCATAAAGAATGCCTTCAAGTTCCAGCTATTTCCATTGTCCCAAGGAAAGCCATGCTCTCTCTGTCCACATACGAATGAGAATGGAAGCCAACGTAGTTTGCAGTCCGTGGGCTAAACAAGGCTGGGAGCAGGCATACTTTCCGGTTCTTGTGTTAAAATCGGCTCCTACTCCAGGGAAACCCTTGCTTCCAGAAGCTAAAACTATAAACTACCCAATTCAGAGTAAGCACTAATGGCTTACTCTTCAAGAGTGTCTTTAAGATTCTGCCTGATCAGTCCCACCAACCCAAGACTCGTATGTCCTAAACTCTGTGGCCTCGACTAGCTGTCCTTATTGCGAGGTCCATGTAAGCATGCTCCAGCCCAGGCTCTGCCGCTGTAAATACCCTCCCCGGACGGTCCCCGTCCCTTCCTGCACGCTAAGCCCCCACCGGGGTGGCACACTCCCTTCTCTGACAAGTCTAAGACCCAGCTGTGCCTCAGCCACAGGCTTTCCTGGCGGTCTCTCGTGGAGTCTACAGTTAACACTGACCTCTTCTCGCCTATGTTTTTCTTCTTTGGGGATGTTATCTGCTGGTGCTATGTCCCCAACGATGCATTCTGCCATATCGTGAACCAGGGCTAGGCGTACACATCTGACCAGGCAAGAAATGGTGGATAATTACACAGAAGCATATTCACCGCAATCTCCTTCTCTATACTGTTTTGAAGTTACATAATACAGTTTTCTTTCTCCACCCTCAGAGTATTTCAATGCTGTATTTTCTAAAGTAACTATATGATGAAAACCTTCAAAGGTTCTGAATCAAAACTGCTTGCTAAGCCCGGCCTGTGTGGCTCAGTGGTTGAGGGTGGACCTGTGAACCAGGAGAGATCATGGTCTGATTCCCTGTCAGGGCACATGCCCGGGTTATGGGCTCGATCCCCAGTGTGGGGTGTGCAGGAGGCAGCCGATAGATGTTTTTCACTCTCTCTCTTCCTCTCTGAAATCAATAAAAATATATATTTTTTAAAAACTGCTTAGTAATATTCAACACCATAATTGAGAGTATTGTGCAGAGGAAATAGCCTATATATTTTTAGAAATGGCTGGTTTTTCAAATATCATTTTAAAAGCTTGATAACATCAATCTGGTTGCTGGATTTGAACTCAGATCTGTCCAACACTATTCATTTTTTTTTCTATCAAGGTCCTCATTTGGCCATCTAACTACTTTACTGGAGAAATGATTGTTTCTGAATTTTGTATCAGTAAGTAAATGCTATAACCAGATCATCTAGCATTATAACCTGAAGTTATCAATCATTCTTTTTTCTTTTAATATTTTTATTGACTTTAGAGATAGGAAGGGAGAGGTAGAGAGAAACACTGATGTGAGAAACATCGATCGGCTGCCTCCTGCATAGGGATTGAACCTGCAACCTTTGGGGACACTGGACTACACCTAACCAACTGAGCCACACCAGCCAAAGCAGGCTCTTCCACTTGCCAAGAAAAAACCTAGAGTTGCCGAAACCAGTTTGGCTCAGTGGATAGAGCATCGGTCTGCGGACTGAAAGGTCCCAGGTTCGATTCCGGTCAAGGCATGTACCTTGGTTGCGGGCACATCCCCGGTAGGGGGTGTGCAAGAGACAGATGGTCCATGTTTCTCTCTCATCGACATTTCTAACTCTCTCTCCCTCTTCCTTCCTCTCTGTAAGAAATCAATAAAATATATTAAAAAACAAACAAACAAATAAAAAAACTCAGAGTGCAATTAACAAATGAAGCAATCAACACACACAGTTCTCCTCCCTACGCCCTGAACCTGTACAGGTTGCCTCACATAATTTTTTTTTTGCTATGTATAAACTACAAGAATTTGACACAGGCCTCAGTCATGAAAAGGGATGATGCATAATCACAGGGCAGAGACCCTGCCTGCCAGGCGCCAAAGCTCACAGCCCACCTGTCTTTGTTCAGATGATCATCCGTGGTCACCAGAGCCATAACTGCCATTCTGTACATGTGATCCGACACGCTCTCTGGACTCTCAACATTTCTGTACAGCCAGCCAGTCCGTGGGACTCTCTGGCGAAAATGAATGAGAGAAAGAAGTTTATAAAAACAAGCATTTTAACTATTAGGTCTGGTAATAATTAATGTCGTTTACTAATACTTTTTTTTAAATCGAATTTATTTAAACAATACAACAAAATTTAATCAACAATATAGTTGCCGTTGTTTTCTACTACTTGTGCCCAACGCTCAGGAAGCATTTTAATCCCTCTGTTGTAAAATTCTTGTGATTTTGATGCAAAAAATTCGGTCAATGCATTTTTGTGGCATTCTTCATTATTAAATTTTTTTCCAAGAAGAAAGTTTTGCAAAGAACGAAACAAATGGTCATCGGAAGGGGCAATATCAGGAGAATATGCAGGTTGAGGGAGAACTTCCCATTCCAACTGGCGCAGTTTTTCAGCAGTGATTCTTGCAGTATACGGTCGTGCGTTATCGTGGTGAAGAATTACGCCCTTCCGATTAATCAGCGCGGGTTCTTTTTCTCTTAAAGCTTGGGCTAACCTTTCCAATTGGGCACTATACACTGCACTTGTAATGGTTTGGTTAGATGGTAAAAGTTCATAATGAAGAATTCCTTTAAAATTCCACCAAACACACAACATCACTTTTTTCGCATGCAAGTCAGGTTTTGGCGTGGGCTGTGGAGCCTCATTTTTGTCCAACCATTGAGGCCGCCTTTTCATATTAACATACAGCACCCATTTTTCATCTCCGGTAACAATTTGCTCTAAAAACGGCAAACGGTTTTGACGAGAGAGGAGCGAACTGCAAATTGTGACTCTTTGATTACGGTTGTTGTCGGTCAACTCATGAGGAACCCATTTTCCAAACTTTTGGACTTTGCCAAGTGCACGCAATTGATTGGAAATTGTTTTTTGTGAACAATTTAAAGTTGTCGCAAGCTCTTGTTGGGTAATTTGAGGATTTTGCACCAAAAGAGCTTGAAGAGCTTCCTGATCAAAATTGGACACACGGCCTCGACCACTCTTGTCATCTAAAGAAAAATTTCCCTCGCGAAATTTCTCAAACCAACACTGGCATTTTCTGGCGCTAACTGCATCTTGACCAAGAGCACTACAGATGTTTTTTGCAGCCTCACTTGCTTTTCTTCCTAATTGGAACTCGTAAAGCATGCAGTGCCGAATATGCTCTTCATCCGCCATCTTCTTAGCCCTAGTTTTGCAACAAAAACCAAACCAAACACAAATTTTTTCAAGCAAAACTTGTTAATTGCACTTCACACGTTCTGTAGATACCACGTGTTTGAAGGTTATGTCAATACAAGTCAACGCCAAGCAAGATTTTAAACGAATGTTTTAAAACGACATTAATTATTACTAGACCCGATATCTGCTATGCTGTTCAATAGAAACCCAGGGAATAGGGCACCGAACTGGTCTCAGGACGTATTAAAAAATACTAGTGCGTGTAACCGGAACCAAGTAAAGCAGCGAGGACAGCAGAGAATGAGGAAGAGGTGGGGGGATAATTCATAAGCACACAACACAGAAGTCTAATCATCGAGGGACGCTGTCACTGACTTACACAGCTCGGAACCCACACCCGTCCTCTAGACAAAACTAAAAGTGTAAAGCAGCTCATTTTTCATAACTGCAAGGCTTGGGGAGGTGTGCCTTCCAACAAGGCCCTGGGGCAGACTCAGAGGGGAAAACACGGGGGAAAGCCCTGAACGTGACCTGGGGACAGCTTTCCAAACTCAGAAGCAGCGAGGTCCAGGCGTGTCTGAGGGCTCTTCTTCCTTCGATTCGCATCCCATGTGTGCTTGTGAGACTGCACTGCCCCCTAAGAAGTCTACTATTTCTCAAGAATTTTAGAAACAGCAGGGAACGCGGCAGGAAACAGATCGTTTTGGAGATCGAACGTAGAGAAATGTGCAAAGACATAACGGAGCGGCGTGTGTGCGTGTGTGTGTGTGTGTGTGTGTGTGTGTGTGCGTGTGTGTGTGTGTGTGGAGGGGGGGCATGAAGTGACGTCACTCCACCTACCTGCATTGTGAACCAGGAAAGCTCGCTCTTCCCATCCGAGTGCCAGCCGCCCCCCCCCCCCCCCCCCCCCCCCCCCGCCGAGCTCCCCAGATCGGGCGTTCGGGGCCGACCAGGGGCCGAGGGCTGCTCGGAAGCCGCCCCGCCCAGCGGGGGTCCTGCGCTCCGAGGGCCCCGGCTCAGGGCAGACGTGCACTCCTCCCTCCGAGCGGCCACCCGACCCGGACACTCGGTTGTTTGGACCCCATCCGGCCGGGGTCGGTCGGCCGGCCGGCCTGGCAGCCCCGACGTCCCGCAAGCGCCGCGGGCCCCGCACGGGGTGCTCCCGGCCGCGGAGCTCGCACCGGCCCCGCGGCCCCCGCGGCCCCCGCCCGGCCCGCTCACCTTGAGCTGCCCCACGAGCCGCAGGAACTGCAGCAGGTTCCGGGCGCCGCGGCCCGACTCGGCCACGGAGGAGGCCGAAGCCATGGGCACCGATCAGAGGGGCGGAGCGAGCCGCGTGGCCGCCGCTGCAGCTCCTCCCCCTTCTTTCCCCTCCCTTCTCCTCCTCCCGCCCTTCTCTTCCCTCCCCTCTCTCCTCCGTCCTCCTCCCCTTGCTCCCTTCTCCCTTTCTTCTTCCCTCCCCTCCCCTCCCCTCCCTTCCCCTCCCTTCCCCTCCTTTCCCTCCTTCCCCTCCCCACCCTTCACTCCTCCTCTCCCCTCCCCCTCCCTTCTCCTCCTCCCCGCCCTTCTCTTCCCTCCCCTCTCTCCTCCTTCCTCCTCCCCTCTCCTCCCTTCTCTCTTTCTTCTTCCCTCCCCTCCCCTCCCCTCCCTTCTCTCTTTCTTCTTCCCTTTCTTCCCCTCCCCTCCCTTCCCCTCCTTTCCCTCCTTCCCCTCCCCACCCTTCACTCCTCCTCTCCCCTCCTCCCCTCCCCCTCCCCCTCCCCCTCTCTCCTCCTCCTCCTCCTCCTCCTCCTCCTCCTCCTCCTCCTCCTCCTCCTCCTCCTCCTCCTCCTCCTCCTCCTCCTCCTCCTCCTCCTCCTCTTCCTCAGCTTTCTCACTGAGGCTTGCCCAGGCCCTAACACCGTTTGGATTTGGGTGGCTGCCCCTTGGGCATTGCACCACCCATGGCAGGCACAGTGCTTGGTACATACCAGCCGCTCATTCCTTGTTTGCTAGACTCCATTTAACTGCTCTCCCTCCAACTGGTAAAAGGATCTCAGTTCCAGGGTGAGGGTGGGAGGGTTTGGAGGAGGAGCAGGGCTAAGCCAGATTGCATCAAAATCTCACCTTTTAGGAACTCAGATCTGGTTGGGGAAAAGATAAGCATGGGCAAACGACAAACATTGAACAGAGGTACAAGGAAAGTACTTTGAAGAGTTCATTAGTCATGACAAGCACTGGTAGGACTGTGGGGTCAGTCATAGCCAAGGATTTTGGAGATCAACATTAATGCACTATAGAGAGAGCACAATCCCAGGATGAAATCTCACTTCCCTTAACACCTCAAGTGCTGAAGAAACCCCTGAAAAGCCGGCCAGGCTCTGTCTCAGTCATTGTCTTAATTCCATCAGCAACCAATGGTAATGATTTTTAAAGGCATTTAGCGAACAAGCATACCGAAGGACTCAGGGAGAGGGCCAACGTTGACAATAGACTATATGGGGCAAGTAGGAAGTAGGAAGACCAGTTGGAAGACTACTGAAATCCTACTTTGCGGAGATGATTTTGGTTTGTTCCAGGTGACAGCAGAAGATGTTGAATTTTGGATACAACTTGAAGGTCGGACTAACAGGATTTGTGACAGATTGCACATAGGATCTGAGAGAAAGAGAGGAGTCAAGATAACAAATTTAGGCCTGACCAACTGGAGGGATGGAGTTGTTATTACTGAGCTGGAGAAAGTGCAAGAACAGTAGGTTGTGGGGAAGGGTAGGAACCAAATATTTAGGACATGTGGAGATGCCTAGTAAATATACTCTGAGTGGCCAGGTTATTATGATCTCTGAATGCATAATAATCTGGCCACTCAGTGTATATCCTATATAATAAAAAGCTAATTTGCAAATTAGCTTCTTCCAGCAGGGAGGCCGGCCAACCACCCATGTCCCCTCCATGTCCCCTCTCACTGGCCAGGCTGGCCGGACCCTACCCATGCACGAATTCATGCACCGGGCTTCCAATATATATATATATATAATATATATATATATATATATATATAACATATATTATATATATATATATATATATATATTATACTAAGTGGCCAGATTATTATGCGTTCAGAGATCATAATAATCTGGCCAATCAGTGTATAACATGGACGTCAGGAGAAAGGTAAGAATTTTGTGCCATTAACATACAAGATGGTATGTAAAACCATGAACCTGAATGAGACCCTGGTGAGAAATTATGGGTGAAGAAGAAAAGCTATCTAAGGCCTCAGGGCTGTGGCAACCCAACATTTAGAGTTTGGGAGACCAAGAATAAGCAGCCAGGGAGGAAGGAAGAGTACTGAGAGGCAGCTGTGTCCTGGAAGTCAAAGGAAGAAAATATTTCAGGCAGCAAGGAATATAGCCACCCAAGTCATATTAGATAAGGGTTGAGATTTAACTGCCAGACTTAGCAAACTCAATGTCATTGGTGACCTGAATAAGAGAAGATTCAGTTGTAGTGGGGCAAGCAGAACCCCAAATCAAATGGTTCCAGGGAGAATGGGAATAAGTATTGCAACTCATTTAAAATGGATGGGGCCACTAGAAAAGTGATTATTTTAAAAGGAGGATGCCAGTTTAAAGCAATGGGCAAAGAAAACAACTCACTCGAGTCCATTGGAAGAAAAGGTGAAATGAGAGGGATTCTCCACTTGGACTCAATATACTAGTACACTTTTAAGGTGTCTGTGAATATTCTAAAAGTATCTAAAAACTCTGTTAGTTATGAGGATTTTTCTGTTTGTTAGATCCTTGAAGAGGTCTCCGAGAAGAAAAGTTGCTTTAATGTGCAGCTGTGGTAAAGTTCTCAAAGCTCTGGTCCTGGTGTTATAAACTAGTAAAATAACCCCAACAAAACCTGTAACTGTGTGAGCCTCTGCTGATGAGAAATGGTGTTATATCTCTCACCTCATTTTAACTCTCCCAGCATTCCTTTAAAATATTAATAACTAGAGGCCCGATGCACAAAATGGATGGGGGGCTTGGCCCTCACATCCCCAGCTGCCTTGGCTGGCCCTTGCAGCCTTGGCTTCATCTGGAAGGTCATTCAGAAGGTCGTCCAGATAGATGTTCTGCTGCTCAGTCTAATTAGCATATTATCTCTTCATTGTATATGATGATCTTCATTTCAGATTAGAAAACAGAGTTGCCCAAAAGCTGAGGAACTGGCCTCTGTTTTCATAGCCAGCTGGCAGTGTCAGCATCGAAACTCCGGCCTGTGCTACTCCAAATCTTTCTCTTTGGGACACCCTGTTGCTATGTTGTCATTGTGGAATTAAGTGAGATTCTGGGTGTAAAATAGATTTTGTAAACTGTCATTACATGCAAAGATTTGGGGGAGGGGTTACATACCAATGGACTAATCTGAGAAAATTTGCCCAGAAAACATTCTTGAGTATGCCCAAGGCACTAACTAAACAGTAAAGCCCAAGTCTGAGTAAAATCGAAATTTCCCCCCTTCACCCCCCCACACAGAAATAGTGCTTCTGCTGCTATATCTCCACAGATAACAGGTTAACTGTTGGTCTGCATCAGCAGTTCTCAAGCTCAGGTGATTTTCTCCGCCAAGAAAGCATTTAGCAACATTTGGCTCTATTGCTAAGGAATCTTAGTTTAAAAATTGGAAGGGAATAATTGAGCAAAAATCTTTTCTATGTAAAGTACATCTCACTTTCTAGAAAATATCTATAATAATAAAAATGTAATATGCTAATTAGACCAAACAGCTGAAAGACCTTTCAGATGTTATTCCGGACATCCTTCTGGACAAAGCCATGGTGAGCAGTTAGGGGCAACCAGGCAGGCAGGCGAGTGGTTAGGGGCAACCAGGCAGGCAGGTGAGCAGTTAGAGGCATTAGACAGGCAGGCAGAGGTGGTTGGGGGGTGATCAGGCTGGCAGGCAGGTGGTTAGGTACAAGCAGGCAGGAAGGCAGAGGAGTTAGGGATGATCTGGCAGCAGGCAGGCCAGTGGTTAGGAGCCAGCAGCCCCAGATTGGGCCAGGGATCTCTGTAGGATTGGACCTAAACCGGCAGTCAGACATCCCCAAGGGGTCTTGGATGGTGAGAGGGTGCAGTCTGGCGTAGGACCCATCACGTGCACGAATTTCATGCACTGGGCCTTTAGTATATTATAAAATATTATATAAAGTATTCTTTTGGGGATACTTCAGTTCTTTGTGTGCCATTGGTTCATTCTAAGAAAAATAGCACTTGAGTTAGGTCAAATTGTTTCCCTAATGGCTGCTCTTGTCTTTTCACAGGACTCAACCTTAGAAGGTGAAAAAAAACCAAACATGAAGCTGCAGAAGCACTCTTCAAGTCATTGGAAGTCCATTTCTGAGCTCAGGCATATTTCTCAGGCAGTTTTATCATGATGCTGATACCAGACAGAAAGATTCTTGGGGGGCAGACACTGTGCTTGATTCATCCTCTTTCCTTAGAACCAAGAATCTTGTGTGGCAGTCCCCTGAAAATGGTGATGAAGTGGGGCGGGGGTTCAGGGACAGAATCACCTTACCCAACATAAAGAGGTGTGAGCCATCAGGATGTTGGAAGAGTGCCACAAATCAGGAGCTCAAAAAATTTAACGAAATAAACAAAACCACTCTACTTGGAAGACATTTCCAAACTGTACTGAAGAGATGCTTTTGGCCCGAGGGCCAAGGCATTTCCATGAAACAAGGGTATTTAGGATTGGGACACACCCGCTCCTCTCTTCTCCAGTGCCCAGGTGTGGCTGGCGGCAGGGAATTGAGGAGGATGTGTGTCAAATTACCAGGATGGTCCCTCCCATGTCTGAGCCGGGGCCGACACCTACCATCAGAGCCACAGTAGCAGCAACATCTGTTCTGCTTTAACTTTCTGGTTCTTCCTTTCCCTCTCCATCTGATCTTTAAAACTACCTTTAAAATAGGAGCCACAGTTGGCCCGTGTGTGCCTTCAGCTGGTTCTAATTCTCTCCCAGGTCCATTCTCTCCCAATAAAGGACACATTGTAGAAGGTGTTTTACAGCTTAACTTGTTAATAGAGCCAGATCATTCTACCAGGTGTAACAAAACCTAACATGGCACTCAAGGCTAACACACAAATATGTTAGGTAAATATAGTTTCACTGATTTTTAAAAAAAAGCAGGTGAGCCATCTAATGTTTAAAGTCCCTTCTAATTCTAAAATCCTAACATTAAAAACAAGATTTCCTCACCAGTAAAGGACATGTCTCTTTAGACATGACTATTGGATATCCCCCCTGATGGTAACTTTTTTTTTTTTTTT